ATAGTGTGTTGAGATCAACAAAAGGAGTAGGTCATACTGTCCAACATGCTGCAGAGGAAAATAAGGACATGCGTATTTCATGTCCGTGGTCCCGTGTTAGTCATGCAACTCGTGCAACAACAGGGCCCCCCCAAATGCATGTCATTGGGGGGTGCTCTCATAGGAACCAGGTGACTCACAGGAGAGCATGGCCTCCCAAAACGGGCATCTTTTGGGGCCACACTCTTGTGGGAGAAAAATGGGGCATACCAGGATCCAATCAGAAGCTGAGATAGCTTCTGTAATTCTAGGATGTCTCGCTCAAAGTGGGATGGTTGACAGGTATGGTTTGTTCTGACAAAATGAGCATAGCATTGGGGTGCTAGCCAGAGATCCAAGTCCCTTTCCATGCCCCCCCAAACACACACACACAGAGAGAGAGAGAGAGAGAGAGAGAGAGAGAGAGAGAGAGGTTTTCTGGATTTTGCCAGAACTGTTAAGCACTTCTTGCAAAACACCACATAACAGAGTACTGCTTAATATTTAGAACAATAAGCTCTACAACCACCCTGTACTGTAAACTGTTATTATTATCCTTGAACACAGATGGTGGCGGCTTGATGTTGAGGGTTCCTTGCTGAAGGCCATCCATTGAGCTAATGGCTTAACAGGAAATGAAGACCTCATTGCTTCCCCCCAAACTGACCTGACACCAAGCAGTACACATTAGACAATTTTAGACTCCGGACTTGATAGACTTACCAGGGAGTTGGGCTGCTTTTTAAATGGTAGTGTGTATTACTGCACTTACCTCAAAATGTGGCAAGCCAGCCCTGCTGCTGCATTTGTGGGTCTTTCTGTTCATTCTGCTGAGTGGGGTCCTGGATGTGTGCCCCAAAGTTCTGTTCTGATAGCACTGTAGGTCTTATTTCACTCCTTCCCACTGTCATATCCTAGGGTGACGTGGATCAATTTCCCCTTTACCAAGGTAGAAAAGTTCCTTGGTAACAGCGTTTGACTGTAAAACCACTCTGGAAATTGTGGCTCCGTGGAGGAATAGGGGCCTCCTAACAACTCCCGGAGGGACGCGGGTGGCGCTGTGGGTTAAACCACAGAGCCTAGGACTTGCCGATCAGAAGGTCGGCGGTTTGAATCCCTGCGACGGGGTGAGCTCCCGTTGCTCGGTCCCTGCTCCTGCTAACCTAGCAGTTCGAAAGCATGTCAAAGTGCAAGTACTGAGCTCAACATCAGGTACTGTCCTCCAGTGGGAAGGTAAACGGTGTTTCCGGTGACTGCTGCAGTCTGGATTCGCCAGAAGCGGCTTCAGTCATGCTGGCCACATGACCTCGGAATCAGCCTGCTTACAGCCGGCTCCCTCGGCCAGTAAAGCGAGATGAGCGCTGCAACCCCAGAGTTGGTCACAACTGGACCTAATGGTCAGGGGTCCCTTTACCTTTTTTAACAACTCCCGGTACATTTAACAACAGTTCTCAGGATTCATTGGAGGAAACCATGAATGTATGACACCACTTGAAATGTATAGCACAGTTGGGGCCCTAGTGGGATCATGGTTTTGTTTAACCCCCCCTTTGGCCACAGCAAAAGCTCACAGAACCATAGCTGTCAACTTTTCCCTTTCCTTGCGAGGAATCCTATTTGGAATAAGGGAATTTCCCTTAAAAAAAGGAAAACGTTGACAGCTATGCACAGAACAGACCCTCCAAGTGCTCCTATTTTCCACGGACACTCCTGGATTTACAGAAGCTGCCCTGGTTTCTCATTTGATCCCAGAATGTCCTGTTTTTTCTTAGGATGTCCCTATTTTCACTGGAGAAATGCCGGAGGGCATGGAGTTATGCCAGCCCTGAGCCAAGGAGATAAGTAACTATACAACCTTGAGAAGACCTCTGAAGGCAGCCCTGTATAGGGATTTTTAAAAATGTTTAATGGGTGGATGTGAGGGATCGTGCTGAGGAGGGCTGCACTGAGGAAGAACGGTGGGAGCCACCCCCTCCTCCTGATCTTGATCCTGAATCTTCCCAGGAGCAGGAGGACAGTATAGATTTGCACAGCGGTTTACAGAGGGGCATAGAAGGCAGAAGCTGGGAAATACTGGACGGGGAACAGCTAGCAGAAGAAACACTGGAAGAGAGAGAGTTATCATCATCATCATCATTTTTATTCGACCGTCAGTCAGAAAAAAAGTACATTTTGTCAATACACAGCAAAGCACCCAGAAGATTTAAACCAGATAACAAATGCGCCAGATAGGCCCCATCAAGACAGTCAATTATGGTCTGCGACGCTAAAAGCTAAGAAGAGAAATTGGCCACCAAGGAAGGTATAGTTTCAGTGGTGTTATTCAGCAAGTGTAAAACCTGGTTTTCCTAGGAAGGAATTGACATAAGAGTGGGTCTATAAAATTTTGCTCCAGCCTGCATGGGGTGGAAAGTCAGAATGTTCGGTGGACTCAACCACACCACAGGGCACAATGACAGGTTCTGGGCAGTGGTACTGTACCTTCCCCACACATCGCAGAGTCAAGGACATTTAATCTAGTCGCTGTAAGAAGTCTATGGTATTCCACAAGGACTGTAAGTAGGGCCAGGTGGTCCGGGACACCCATCCTGGGGAACATCCCGCTTGGTTTTACCGGCATGTCCTCTGTCTGGCAATGTCACCAGTCTCCTGGAGATCACAGCTCTAGCTTGTGATTGGTAATGGCCATGGACCAGCAAAGGAGAGACAATCCGCAGGATTGAACCACAATGACCTCCTTTTCACGATGATTTAGAACATCCCCAGCACAAGGGGGCACACCACACTTCAATGTGTCAAAGTTGACAGCCGAGCTTGGCCAAGGCCAAGAGCACCGTAGAGCTTGCCAGCCGACCTCTAATCTCATAACCGTGACCACACCGAGGGGGGACCCGCGGATGGCCTGGTGAACGCGTATTAGAATCCAGTTTCAAAAACCTGCAATGGGTCTGGGGGAAAAGATATCTGCACCAAAAGAAGTGGGGGAGGACTTTCATTTGAAAGAGTCTCTGTTAAGAATTTACTATTTGAGCCTGATTCTAGTATAAGATCTAATCTGGATGGCTGCTTAGATGCGTAGTTGTTATATATAATCTCTATGGGCCAGAAAAGACCTATTTGACCGTATTATTTGTCCCAGATATTTAAAAGCAGTTAACCTGCTCTAGGGGATCCTGCCTCATCACCATCGATGGAGTCTCGTCGGGCAGAGAAGACCAAGGATCTTGGTCTTAGCATAGCTGGGGTTGAGCTCATGCTGATCAAGGTATTCCTGTAGAGCTTGCAACATTCCTCCTCAGTCCAATAGGGGATCCAAGTGCTGGCAAGCACATCCACATACAGAAGAACGTTCAGAGATCAGCCTGCAATTTGGGGGTGGGTACATCATTGGCCAGTGGAGTCACCAGTGAGTTAACAGAACAATGAAACATGACAACCCTGTCTTACCCCCAGTGGTGGCAACCGGGTTGGAGACTGTGGGCTCCATTGGTTCAGCCTGATTCTCAAGAAAGGTAACAGGCGGGAGGGCTGATAATCAGGTGAAGGAGACGGCGATCGATCTTTGTAGCGAGAGAGAGAGTTAACAGATTCACAGTCTCTGGATAGTATCCACCCCCCTTCCCCGAAGTCACGGAGAATTCAGAAAGTGTAGGAACAGAAAGCACAGAGGGTACAAGCTCAGATTACAGAACGTAGAAGTGACGTAGACTAATAGGGACGGAGGGGGGAGTGACCTTCATTAGGAGCACCACCATTCTGGTTAGATGCTTTCTTTTGTCCTTCGCTGTGTTTCTTTCCTTGATAACCTGGTAAGAATTCCCTTTCATTTGATCTACTCATTTACGGCCATGGGGAAGGAAGCCGATTCCCCAAAGTCTGACAGTGGTGTATAAATAATAAAGTTGTTGTTGTTGTTAAATAGGACATCCCTATTTTCATCACAGAAATGTTGGAGGGTATGCTAGAACTCAGATGAGGAACCTAAGGCCCTCCTGATATAGTTGTACCACAACTTCCATCATCACTGACCAAGAGTTATGCTGGCTGGGGATGATGGGAGATGGAGTCCACCAACATCTAAAGCGCCAAAGGTTCCCCATCCCAGTCCTAGAAGAAAGGCCTGCTTTGCTTGAAACAAGAGGGGAAAGAAGAAAAGATAATTATGTCAGAGAACACTCTCTCTCTCTCTTTTTGGTTTCAAAGAGATAGAACTAAGGCTGCTTGACATTCTGATTATCCTCCAGCTACCTTCATCCTCTGTTACTCTCCTGACCTCTGTAATTTAGATCAAAGTGATTTAGATCCAAGCCATCTTTGGGACAGTCACTCAGGGCTCTCAGGGGCCTTGTTGATGGATAAATGAAGCTAAATAAAGGTAAATAGCCCCAAACCGATGAGACATGACACAGGCATTGGGTCTGGAGAAGGAATTTCCCCTGAAGTCCAGGGAGAGGCTGGAATGAAATAACAGAGGGCCTGGATTTGCTTTCTCCTTTTCCTAGATGCTCAAAAGGAAAGAGTCTCGCTGTTGACTAAGGACCGCTGCAGTTGGCGAAGCCTTTCCTCATGGGCTTGCCTGCCACAGGAGAGCCATCTCAATGTAGATGGCTCTGGGGGTGGTTGTAAACTCACTTCCAGGAACTGGCTAGGCCTCACCTTTGTCTCAGGAGAACAATCTATGGAGACCAGAACTCACTGAGCACTCCCGCTCAAATCTCCACCATGCATGGGAAGATCCATCAGAATCTAGAGGGGGAAATCTGACACCCAGGGGTCTGGAGGATTCCTGTTCCACCACTATCCCATGACAATATGTATTTGTATGCATGCTGTAACCCTTGTATGTGCATTTTTCTAACACATTATTTAACTGGAGAATTGCGTTGCAAAATTCAGAGAAGTGCAGATATTGAAGGATTATAGAATTATAAAGCTGAAATGGGACACCATCTAGTTCAACCCCCTGAAATATAGGAATCTTTTGCTCAATGTCGGGCTCAAACGCATGACCCTGAGATTAAGAGTCTCATGCTCTGCCGCCTGAGCATACCTAAGGTGGGATGGCTGTATTTTGGTTGGCACATTGTTCCAGAAACTGCTATTAGATAAGTTTGCCTTTAAATGTGAACTGCACCTGATTTCTCCCCAATCCCTAGCAGCCACGACGACTAAATTCACACTACATTTGGTTCACTGCAGAGGAGTTAACAAGAAAGGGCTGGAACCTTCATCTTTTCAGTACCCAAGCCAATCTTTTACTCCTGAGCTGAATGTTTCGTTGACAAGAAACAAGCTTACAAATTTGGTTGCTATGGGAGCAGAGGGATGCCAGGTGTGCTTTCTCTTGACTAGGTGTGCGGTCTTGACTATGCTACCACTCAGTGGATCTGTAACTGGCTGACTGACCGAACCCAAAGGGTGTTCATCAATGGTTCCTCTTCATCCTGGAGAAGAGTGACTAGTGGGGTGCCACAGGGTTCTGTCTTGGGCCCGGTCTTATTCAACATCTTTATCAACGACTTGGACAGTGGACTCAAGGGCATCCTGATCAAATTTGCAGATGACACCAAACTGGGAGGGGTGGCTAACACCCCGAGGACAGAATCACACTTCAAAACGACCTTGACTGATTAGAGAACTTGGACAAAACAATCTAGATGAATTTTTACTGGGAGAAATGTAAAGTATTTCACTTGAGCAAAAAAGAGTAAGGCACAAATACAAGATGGGTGACACCTGGCTTGAGCAGTACATGTGAAAAGGATCTAAGGTCTTGGTTGACCACAAACTGACATGGGCCAACAGTGTGTGTGACAGCTAAAAAAAGCCAATGCAATTCTAGGCTGCATCAATGGGTGTATGGCTTCTAGATCCAGGGAAATGTACGTGCCACTGTATTCTGCTCTGGTCAGACCTCACCTAGGTACTGTGTCCAGTTCTGGGCACCACAGTTCAAAAGGACACTGACAAACTGGAGCCGTGTCAGAGGAGGAACTATTAAAATGGTCAAGGCCTGGAAATGATGCCTTATGAGGAATAGCTAAGAGCTGGGCATGTTGGCCTGGAGAAGAGGAGTTGGGGGTGATGTGCCATGTTCAAATGCTCAGGATGTCACTTAGAGGGAGGGAGAAGGTTGTTCATATCCAGAAGCGGACATGGAGCAATGGATCCAGACTACAGAAAGAAGATTCACCTAAACATTCGAAAAACTTCCTGACAGTAAGAGCTGTTCGGCAGTGGAATTTGCCAAGGAGTGTGGTGGAGTCTCCTTCTTTGGAGTCTTTAAGCAGAGGCTTGACAACCATATGTCAGGAGTGCTCTGATGGTGTTTCCTGCTTGGCAGGGGGTTGGACTCGATGGCCCTTGTGGTCTCTTCCAACTCTATGATTCTATGATTCTATGATTCTCTCTGTCAAGGAGCTGGGCTCCATGCTTGCCCTCCAAAAGTGGACAGGGTCTCCCAGTACACACACACACACTTCAAAATTCTCTTTCCAGTTCCTCCTTGCAATGGGCTCCATTGCGGGTGTGCCATTTTGGAAGGGCATGTAAGAGGCCTCCGTGGGAAAAGAGGGAGAAAGAGGGAGGTGTTGAGAATGTTCCCCCTTTCCCCCAAACAACCTCAGATTTTGCCAAATGTAATTTCATCCATTGCAAAAGAAACATCTCAAGTCCTATTTGGGAGTTACTGCAGACTGGAAATTCTGAGTGTGAGGAGCAGCATAGTACGAGGGTTGTGGTTGTTGCTTTTTAAAGCTATGCCTCCATTGCTAGTGCAATCCATGAATTCAGTAGTGACTGTTTGCAGCACAGAACCCTCCTGTAGCTATGGATGCTTTTGATGTAGAACCCTGGAAAAATCAGGGTTCTCCGTCCGGCCAAGGAGCCTACAAAGAAAGAAGCAGGCTCCCTACTGGAGATACTCACCCTTGAACTTGCAGAGGGTGGAAGGAATGTTCCTGCCCTCTCCTTGACACACGCATGTGAATTTTTCCAGTTTGCAGTAATGGCTGAATAAGACTTCATTTGAAGACAAAAAACAGATTATAAATGAGCCAACCAAGATAAGAAGGAGCAAGGAGCACACACCTGCATATCATTTATCACAATAAATGCCACAAACCAGGCTTTGAGTTACCTACTTGCTAACTTGCCCTCTCCTTCATTAAGAAGGGATCTCCTCTTCTCGCTACATTTCTCTGGTATTGAAACAGAGATACCTCCACACAGAAAGGGATATTTCTGGCCAGTAGAGAAACACAGAGTTGTATCCAACTAACTTGTACACAAATGAGACCCACTGGAATTAGTGAATCTAAGTTGGCCATGCTTATTAATTTCTGTTTCTGTTTGCTAAACTATTTTGAGGATGGGAATCTAAGATTTTGAGATTGCTTGTGTCTCAAAAATCCAGCGGTCTTCTCCTCTGAATATTTTAATTTTGCACTGCTAATCTGTGAGGCAGCTTTCCCCTGAGAAGAGACTAAAAACTGTTACGGTTTTGCTTTTCTTCAGTTTATAAATGGGTGTGTGTGAAGGGGAGTATGATCTAAGCACATAAAATCGTGACTGATTTGGGAAAGAGGATGTGGAAATTATTGATGCGCATAGTAAAATAGTATGAAGACAACTCCTGGTGATATTAACACAGGGGTAGCCAAAGGTGTTGCCTCCAGATTTTGCTGAACAACTCCCATCTTTCTTCACTGTTGACTATATTGATGTGGGGCCAATGAGCATTGTCACCCACAACATCTGGAGGGTACCACAACGGCTCACCCTACCTTAAGATAGGCCAAGTTAAAAGATGATCGAAAGGATATTTTCCCCAGGTTAAACTCTTATTCAAGTTCTTAATGTTGGAGAGAATGTCGACAGCTAAGTTCATATTTCCATATGTGGCGGGCATGCAAATCACTACTATCCTTTTGGAAAATGGTAGTCAAAAAAGGTTTTTTTGATGATGGGACAGGTGATACAACCTGATCCAATGGCTACATGAATTTACTGTTTAAGGACCTGCTAATCTATTTCATGTTTGCAGCTAGAAATATTGGAACGCAGCTACAAACTTAACTTTAGGCGTATGGTGGGAGGGGCTGTGGTACACAGCATCTGAGAGTACTAAGGAACACAAAGATCAAAGATGATTTTGAAACTGTTCTGTACATGTTTATCCTTGGCAGATGTTGATAAGTGCATCAGCTATAGGGTGGCACTATTTGCACTATTGGCAATAAAGATAAGGGCAACATTTCTGAATAGTGCAAGTGCCAAACTGTAGGGATGCTGACTATAAGGAACGTTCCTAAATTTTGGACATTGTAGATTAGTCTTGGTCCGATGCAATGTCTTTGGTTTTGTAGCTGTGGGATTTGTGCTCACACTGTATTGTGATGGCCATTGGCTATAAACAATAAAAATTATTGATGATACATGTTTATTCAGTACACTGGAAAGGACACTGTTGTCTCCTCACCATCCAGCTACCCATGGCTCAATCTGGGTTATCATCAGAAGTATTTTCAGAAACTTCCAAAGTTGCCCAGGGAGCCACCATAATCCCCAGCAACCCTTAACAAGCTACAGTGCCAAGAATTCTTTGAGGGAGAGAACATGCTTTGAATGTGCTTTAAAGGGATAGTGATTATGCAGCCTAAGTTTCTGAATTCTGTCTTTCAGGATTATGCAAGTTGCAGTAAGAAATTTTAAAAAGCAGAGGCTCTAACTAATGATCTTCTCACCCCCCCCCAAAAAAAATCAACTTCAATGTCGCAATTACATGAGATGAGAAAGCAATAATAAAGCATCATTTTGAAACTCCCTAGCAGTTTAGATATGGGAACATGCTACAAGGCTCGGCCTTTCCCTGGGTAGGGACGGCAGATAGCCTTCCTGGTATCAGAGTTGGCTCACCAGCAATCACATTCTTTTTTAAAAAGATCTCCCATCTATCCTGGGTGGGCCACAGAAACCCAAGGCATTTGTCTTTGTAGTTTCACAACATCCTGAGCTGCCAAAAAGCTGTCCTTGAATTCAACTGCTCAGAGGTCAGATTGCCCCATTCCACCTGGAGATAATGGCATGCTCTATTTGAAAAACTTGGAGATCTTTTAAGCAAAATGTTTTGGTTTAGGCAGCGTTAGAATCTCACCAATTTTTCATGGCCGCACCTATAGTTTTATGAGCTGGCAATTCAAGGTGACCAATAAAGACCTGCTTTTCAGGCTATGCCTTTTATTGCATACGATTCCTTTGCATATGCAACTGTACACATAATGAGGTACAACACTCATCTTGAAAATGCATGGGCTCTTGTGTGTTTATTATAGTGGGAGTGAATCCACAAGAATGCTGCTTGCAGGATTTATTTATTTTTTGAACCAGAGTTAGATATTCCAAAGCCAAAGCCTGCCACCTGCTGACCAGCAAGCCACAGTGTCAAACTGTTTTGATTCCCTATATACAGTATGCAGACTCCTGCATCTTTCCTCTAGTCAAGCCTGAAGTTGGATTATGACTATAAAACCTCATGAAAGCGATACAAATAATATTTACCGTTGTGGTCTGATGCCATAAAGGTTGAGTTTTCACAAGCTTCTCCTTTTGCACAGGAGGTAATAAAAATCTCATGGGTTTTAAGTCAGAAAAACACGTGATAGGAATTTTGAGCACTATATAATGTTCATGTTCAAAGCTGCAGAGAGGAGATACTCAGTTTATTGCAAATAATAACGGGATGGTAAGATTCTGGGCAGGGTAAAGATGCTTCTCTCCATCACTGTTTTGCCCCTAGAAGTTAGTAATCAAACCCTAGAAGTTAGTTGGGCGCCATCCCCACCCCATTGATCAAAAACATACACGCAGGTTTTCAAAACGTTACTGTGGTTTGTTAAATTGTTATGTGTTAGTTGTGTGCAGTATGAGTCCAGTTCATCCACAAGATCACACTCAAGAGGCTTCTCAAATCCAGATGGCATTGGAAGATACTGAGCATATGGAACAAGCTTCAGGCCTAGGTTTGAGGTAGAAATATCCTTGGTCACCTGAGTGGATGATTTGTGAAAGCGAATAAATGATGCAGCATAACTCCATTAGTCCCCCTGGACCTGGTGGCTTTCAGTACCATTGACCGCAGTATCCTTCTGGGGCATCCGTCTGGGTTAGGTTTAAGGGGTAGGATAGTGTGATGTGCCCCCTTATTCCTGGAGGAATGATCCCAGAAAGCGTTGCAATTATTCATTTATTTGTGTTATTCAAAAGATATTAGCCAGCTAGAAAGCTAGCTAGGTTATCACACTGAGGTGATTTTCATAAGCACTGTTTCATTGGTGACAGGAATTCTGAGGTCTCAAATATAGAATTAATGTTGATAATTGCACAAGGTAAACACACATACATGAGTATATAAACCACATGTCTAAAATAGTACAGGAGAGCAATCCAAAAGCCATATTGGCTCTCCTAAAGACTCTAAATATTTCCTCTGCCTCCTTAATCCCCCTTTGCCTTAGAACAAGTAGGCAGATAGAAATCAGGGGGAGTTTCTGAAGGGATTCCTTCCCTATATCTATGAACCTCCTTTGTATTAATTGTCATTGTTTGCCCAGATGCTCTGCGTTGACGGATGTCTGATGAGCATCCTGGTTGTCTTATCAAATGCTAATGTTGTGTGTAAACTGTGTCTGGAACGATGTAAAACTTGCTAAATCCTGAGGAATATCACACCTTGGCCTGCCTGAGCCACAGTAACCCCAGTTTATGTGTGATATAATTTCTGACGGTTTGTAGAGGGGGTGTCCTCCTTCCCTACACCGAAATGCAAACCCTTAAAAGAGATGTTTCTTCTTGGTTCTGGGTCTCTCTTGCTTCATTGATGGGAGGGACGGAACTCTGTTGCTTTCATGGCATCCTGCCTCCATCCAATCATCTTTGACTGATCATGGACTTAGGGGACTCAGTCCCTTGGGGAGTTGGGAGCAAAAGCCAGCCACCCCTATTTTTCTATATCACATTGAAGTTGTAATGATTTTTAGAACCATTGAGAGGACATTAAAAAAATATGTATCTCTCTCCTTCCACTTCCCCATCTTCACATCTCATCCCTTTTTGCTCCTCTCACTGACTCTCTAGCTGGGTACCCAAAGCTTCAAGTTCCATCCTCCCCAACATTCCAGTCTCCTTAGTAACACTTTGCTCTACACACTGTCTTGACCTCTCCCTTCCTTCACTCCATCCGGATGCATCTTCCAGGTAGGCACAGTTTTATTTTGTTTGGTTGTTAAAGCACTTAAAACATTGAAATGCTATTAATGGATTTTAACTTCCAGCTAGTGAAGCTATCACTTGGCTTTAATGGGTTAAAAGGGAATTGTGGTGAGTATCCGACACTGGGGGATCAGTGGTTTCTAAATTTTGATAGATGAAATAACTTAAAAGCTTGCATTGGCTGCCCATATGTTACCGGGCCAGGTTCGAAGTTCTTATATTAATTTACAAGGCCTCTTTCTCCTCTATAGCTTCATATCTCATCTTTTCTTCTTCAGCCACCAACACACCAACAAACTCTCCCAAAGCTTCTCATCTCCATTGTGACAACTGTCTCAAACTCTGCACACTCACTCCCTCAAACCCCTTCCTAAAACATGGAGAGGCATGTTTTAAAGCATTGAACAGAAAGTATCATAATACCTTGCATGGATTTTAGCTTCCAGCTGGTGGAGCTATTGCTTTGCTTAACTCTGCCATAAGGAATGTTAAGGAGCGAAATTTCTGGTGCAAGTATCCAGCAACAATACAGTGGTACCTCCGGTTGCGGACAGGATCTGTTCTGAAAGTCCGGTCGGATCCTGAGGTTTCCGTAACCTGAGGACCGCTTCTGCACATGCGCGCATGGCGAAACCTGGTCCGATACCTCCGGGTTTGCCACTTTCGTAACGTGAAGTTTATGTAACCAGAGGGTTATGTAACCGGAGGTACTACTGTAGTTGAGAAACAGCAGGGGGAATATCCAGGTACATAGCCTCAAGCTCCTTAGAGGAAGGGGGGAACGCAAATGGGGAGGTTATTGGAACCCTGTGAGGGCAGTCATATCCTCAGACATTTTGGCACCTGAGGCGGATCAGAAATTAGGGCTGGATCTAGACACATCAAAGAGGTGTTTCAGTTAAGTGCACTGTAAACTTTGTATGAGAAACCGAGGTTGGCGAAAACGGGACGCCACAGCGCCATCTGGTGTCACAGTGGTAGAATGCATAAACAACACATATAAAGTGCTTTTTCTTTGCCACTGTAGCTGAGTCCCAGGACCTCTCTGGGAATTGTAGTTTGTTAAGGGGGCTTAAGAGAACAATCAGTCACCCCGCTACCCCATTTCATTTAGCGAACCTTGAAAAAAGTGCTATTGGGATAAAAGAGTTGGAGATAACATCCCCCTCTACAACCTATTTTCAGCCATCTAATTCAGAATACTTTTCTTCTGCACTATACTGTTATAGGAATTCTAAGGTCATTATATATATAGTGGTACCTCGGGTTAAGAACTTAATTCGTTCCGGAGGTCTGTTCTTAACCTGAAACTGTTTTTAACCTGAAGCACCACTTTAGCTAATGGGGCCTCCTGTTGCCGCCGCACTGCCGGAGCACGATTTCTGTTCTCATCCTGAAGCAAAGTTCTTAACCTGAGGTACTATTTCTGGGTTAGTGGAGTCTGAAACCTGAAGCATCTGTAACCTGAAGCGTATGTAACCCGAGGTACAACTGTATTCATAAATGTACAAGGCAAACCCATACATAAGTATATAAACCATGTGTCTGAAATAGTACAAGAGAACAATCCTGAAACTGTTTTGACTCTCCCAAATGGACCTCAAATATTTCTCTACAAGGAGGAAGGAAATAGGTAAAGCTTTCCAATCATCTTTGGACTGTAGGGGCTCACACCTCCCTGTAAATACAGTCTGGCAAGTATCTGTTAAGCTGGGCACACTGTCAATATGCCTAAGAGATTCAGGAACTAAGTATTTACCATCTCAAAGGAATGGCCAGGCCACCCAGAAAAGGCAATCAGATAAGGCATTATCAGGTATCCTGGCAGACAGGAGAGAAGCAACATACTCAAATTTCTGCTGGGGACCACCTCTTTCTGTGATGTATGTATGGTGTTTTTTTGGGAGTGGTCTTGAGCTTACAGGGTAGGCAATTCCAAAAGTCTATATAAGTGCTTGCACACCAAAGTTCTGGGTTTCTCTCCTCCCTGCCTGCCTGGGGCGAGTGGGGGACCCTGTTGCAACAGGCTTACTAGCTGCTTTGCTTCTCAATATTCTCTAGTTGGCCTCTGTTATTTTCCCCTACTGATAGAGAACCTACATAAGGACTCTGTATAGAGGCTGTATAGAGGCTCTTGGATACCCCATAAGGGAAAAAGGAGCAGGTTTTTCTTATAACAAATCATATATGCATATATACACATACGTTTCCCCATTTGTCTTTCCTTTGCATATTCCTCCCTCTGCATTCTCCCCTCTTCCCCCTTTTTTTTCTTTCTGTGGGGTCCTCTATCTTGGCTATTTTATTATTATCAGTTTCGTTTCATTGCACCTTTTTCTATTGGTTTCCTCTGTGTGTGTGTGTGTTGGATTGAATTATGCTAGTGTCATTTCTAATGGATGGGGTAGGGTGGTTGAGTATGTGGTCACAGCTGAGGAAATGTGTCGTTCTTCTTCTCGTTTGCTTTCAGCCTTTCATTGTTTGGGCAGGCACCCCCCTCTCGAAAAAGAGCAACGATGAGACAGCCCTAAAATGTCTGAAATAGATGACAGTACAAAGGGTTTATTTTATGCTTTAAAATAAATTTGGGGCAGTGGAAGAGCGAGAAACAAACAAATGCCTCACTTCATAAAAAGACCCAACTCAACTGCAGGAGGAGAAAAGGACGGCGGGTTGGAAGGAGAGAAGAAGGGTTGCAAGATTTGGGTCTTTTTAGTTTGGGGGGGGGGAAATGTGAGCAAAGGGGCACATGATAATGATGTATGCAAGTGAGGAAAGTGATTAGAGAGAAGTTTGCATCCCTCTCTCATAATACAGTGGTACCTGGGGTTACATACGCTTCAGGTTACAGACTCCACTAACCCAGAAATAGTACCTCGGGTTAAGAACTTTGCTTCAGGATGAGAACAGAAATCGTGCAGCAGGGGCCCAGCGGCAGTGGGAGGCCCCATTAGCTAAAGTGGTGCTTCAGGTTAAGAACAGTTTCAGGTTAAGAACGGACCTGCGGAACGAATTAAGTTCTTAACCCGAGGTACCACTGTACTCAAACTTGGGGCCATCCAATGAAGTCAAATATTGGAAGTTCCAAGAGAGACCCCCAAAATAAAATAAAAAATCATCTTCACACAACACTTATGGAATCCACTCCCACAAGTTGTATTGATGGGCACCAACCTGAATGACTTTCAGCTTCAGGTTTTACACATTTATAAAGGGTGGCAACGGGCTATGATGGCTGTGTTCCATTTCTACCACCAGAGGCAGCAGGAGAGAGCTTTTACGTTCAGCTCCTCCTTTTGGGCTTCCCATAGGCATCTGGTCAGTCACTGTGAGAACAAGATGCTGGACTATCATGGTTTTTTGGGCTCAGCCAGCAGGGCTCATCTAGTTTACATTTCCCCCTCTCTGGCTGGCTTTGGGATTCTCTGTTCCTCTGATATTTGTCTCTGCAGCTTCCTCGTGTGCCCTGAAGGAAAGGGAAAGAAGATGTACAAAACTCTGGCACTGAGCTACGTCGTCGCAGTCTACCTAGCAAGCAGTCGTAAGTTATTATTATTACCATACTTTTCTGTGTATAACATGCCCCTGTGTATAAGGTGCCTTCTATTTTGGGAGACTCCAATTTAAGAAAATGACCCAGAGTTGTGGAGCTTTGGGGGGGGGGATGCAGTAAACCACTAACCCGATACAGTGGTAAGTACTTAATTCATTCCAGAGGTCTGTTCTTAACCTGAAGCTGTTCTTAACCTGAAGCACCACTTTAGCTAATGGGGCCTCCTGATGCAGTGTAGAAAAATACCTGTCTTTAATGATGTACAGCGGTACCTCGGGTTAAGAACTTAATTCGTTCCGGAGGTCCGTTCTTAACCTGAAACTGTTCTTAACCTGAAGCACCACTTTAGCTAATGGAGCCTCCCGCTACCGCCGGAGCACGATTTCTGTTCTCATCCTGAAGCAAAGTTCTTAACCCAAGGCACTATTTCTGGGTTAGTGGAGTCTGTAACCTGAAGCATATGTAACCTGAAGCGTATGTAACCCAAGGTACCACTGTAGTTGAAATCGCTGACAATCGCTCGCGTCTGCAACAAGCGCAAACAGCAGCAGGAAATAGCAAGCACAATTGCCACAGCTGCAGCCAATCCACAGCAGCCCTTTGAAGAAGCAACCATTCAAACACACACTTAACGCACCATCAGCCAATACAAAGCAAGCCTTGCCACAGCCACCAATCACACACAAAATCACCAATGACAACCTGCAGCTCACAGCAGCAACCAATCACCCGTCACCCCTACCCACTACCCGTGTATAAGACACCCCCAGTTTTTAAACCTTATTTTATAGTATAAAACCCTCATCTTATACACTGAAAAATACAGTAGTCCAAATGAGGCATAGTTGCAACAAGGGCTGCAATCCCATGTGGACTTATTTCAGAGTGAATCCCAAAGAGTTCAGGGAGACTTTGTAAACACCCAGGCGACAGAGCTGGGATTGTTTCTTGAATATCATTACGTTAGGGTTGCCATATGTCCTCCTTTCCCAGACACGTCCTCTTTTTCAGGATTAACATTTCCGTCTGGGTGGATTTTTTAAATTTGGCAAAATGTCCCAGGGTTTTTGGTTGGGTTGTTTTGTTTTGTTTACAGTAACCCAAGAATGTTTTTCTAGTGCATTAGACCAAGTTTATCCAACTCAATAGATTGCAGCCATTCAACAAATGATTTTCCCCCCTCCACAGAAGTACCTCGTGGTTATTGGCCTCTCATATGTCTTACCTGTGCCGACGTACAGCCAGATGGTAAATGTGCAAATAAATCAGGCAGTTGTATCACCAAAAAGAACGAGCTCTGCTACAACCGGATGGTCAGCTGGAGTGAGTAATAAAGGGAAGGGATGGTGGGAAACGATGTATTTTCTTGGGAGAAAGGGGTAACCCAAGGGGCAGTGTTTGGGGTTGCTCTGAGGTTTTTGTGGGCACCAGAGGGCCAGCTCAAGGGTGACCTTGAGCCTACAGGCACTACACTGGTGACCTCTGATCTAAATCCAACATCATTCATACTTGGGATACTTAGGGCTATATCCAACTAACTTCTACTAAAAAGTAAACTTGCTGAAATTTAAAAGCCCCTTCCTTTCAATAGATTTACTCTGAGTATGGCTAGCATTGGATGCAATCCTATGGCTGCAATCCTAAGACTGGAAGGTGGACAGATGGACTGGAGGTGGTTGAACTGCCAGGCCAATGTCCTGCAGGGCTTTAGCCCAGAGGAATGGTTTGTTTGTTTTTTTTAAAAAAGGACACAAGCACATGTAGATTTCTTTTTAGAAAAAAATAAAAATTACATTGCGTTTGTTATTTCCTTTGATGTTCACAGACCCTCCAAATGTCCCTATTTTCCATGAACAGTCCCGGATTTACAAAAACCATCCTTGTTTCTGATTTGATCCCAGAATGTCCCACTTTTCCTTAGGACATCCCTATTTTCATTGGCGAAATCTTGGAGGGTGTAGAGTTATGCGATCCCTGAATCAAGGAGATAAGTAACTATACAACCTTTAGAAGACATCTGCAGGCAGCCCTGAATAGCTTTATTATGCTATTGGAAGCCACCCAGAATGGCTGGGGCAACCTAGTCAGATGTGCAGGGTATAAATTAAAAAAGTTGTTGTTGTTGTTGAACAGGGCATCCCTATTTTTATCAGAGAAATCTTGGAGGTTGTGTGTTCAGGTCAGGGAGTGTTTGAGATATTTCCTGCAGAACTTTATTGGCCCTTGAAGCTCATTCTTTGCTCATTCTTTCTCAACTCATCATCACAGATTATGAAGTTCTGTTCGTGGACAGGGGCTGCACTTCCAAATGTAGACGACTACAAGAAAACTCAAACTATAGGAACTTTACCTTCTGCTGTGGCAACACCCCTAAGTGCAACAATGTGAACATCTGGGATGATTCCAAGTACAGCTAATAGAAGCTGGAGCAGTAACCTGCCCATCTCTAATTCAGCACTTCTGTATATATGGAGAACGTGAACTCTTTGTCCAATAAACTCATCTTTGAGCAGACTCAAGCGTGTTTGATCTTCCTAAACATGTTTATTTGCAAATAGTGCTGGTTCCTCCTCATTTTCCAGCCGTGACTGTATTTCCAAATCTTGACCATATTTCAGTACAACTTTATAGTTTTCTTTAAAAGTCCTCGCAAAAAGAAGTTATAGCATTTCTCCTAATATTTGCCACTTTTTAATATAATTTTGCCTAATACATTGATCAAGGACTTTCCCCTAATACAATGCATTTCACTTATGTTTGTCCTTCTGTGCACACTTTCCTTTAATATACAATTTTTTAAAATATTTTATATTATATTTTTAATTGGGTAACTGTATTACAAAATCCTGAGAAGCATGGATTCTGAACGATAGTTTCCTTTTGATTCATGCATTGTTTTCAGGACATGTGAATTAGATGGGTTCCTATGAAAGGGCAGACTTAACCAAATTTCTCACCCATCTTCATGCAAGTTTCACTTGGTTTATTCTGCATTAATAAGAAATCATAGAAGCGAACTCATGGGGCTGAGGTCCCTTCACATGCACCCTATAAAATATTTGAGGGGGTCCACCCCCCAAGTTGATGGGCATTGTCATTCAGGTAGTGTGCATGTGATTATGTGGGTTGGGGCTTACCTGCCCCTCGCCCCATATTTTATTCAAGTTAACACCGCTGGAAGGAATAGTTCCTTTAGTGTGGCCTGGAATTTTCTGCCTGTTGACATTAGGGAGGAATCTTCAGTAGATATCTGTTGAAAATACCGTATTTTTCGCCCCATAGGACGCACCGGCCCATAAGGCGCACCTAGTTTTTTGGGGGGGAAAATAAGGAGGAAAAAATTTTCCCCAGGTGCGGGGCTGGGGCGGGGGAAGCCCGAGCTTCCCCCAACCCCAGCCCCCAGAACAGGCAGCTCTTCGCAAGCCGTGGGAGCCCAGCGTGCCCAGGCTTTGGCATGCAGGCAACACTCCACAAGCCGTGGGAGCCCAGCGCCGGGCTCCCATGGCTTGCGGAGAGCTGCGCGAAGCCTGGAGAGCCACACTGACCCCTATGGCTCTCCAGGCTTCAGCGAAAGCCTGCATTTGCCCCATAGGACGCACACACATTTCCCCTTCATTTTTGGAGGGGGAAAAGTGTGTCCTATAGGGCGAAAAATACAGTATGTTCCATCAAAGGAGGAGAGGCAAGTTAAACTGCTTGAATATATGGAACTAGCGAATGTGATGGAAAAGATCAGGGATCGACCGACCCAAAAGTTTAAAAAGGAATGGAAGATTTATAGGCAATATTTAAAAGAACATTGTCCCCATATTAAAACTTTAGAATGCTTTGAATAACTCTCGGAATTGGTATAGAGAACACAAATAAGATATAATACAGGCTAAGTTTATTGAAAAATAGAGGCAAGTTACAAGAAAACCAAGAACCCACACCAAGGAGGTCGGAAGTCGATGGCTGAAGTATTTTTGTGTTTTCTCATTGTACTGTTTTCTTTTGTGAGTTATATGCTGTTTTCTTCTTCTTTGTGTGTCTGTGTTGTTTATAAACCAAGAAAGATTGAATTAAAAAAGAAAAGAAAACTTACCAGTTGCCGCAGGCATAGCCAAATACATGATTTAGTTACTTGTAATGTTAATTTGCTTTGAGACTTTCTTTTGGTATAAAGCAACTAATAATTTTTGTTTTTAATGTTTTATAGTTTTTTGATTGCTTTAAAATGCTTTTAATTGTTTTTAATGTTTTTAAAAACACATTTAACTGCATTTTTTCACTGATGTGCTTGCCTCCAAGATGTACATGCTAATAATAATAATAAGAAGAAGAAGAAGAAGAAGAAGAAGAAGAATATTGTCACTGATGAAAAATGAGGGTAAAGTCAAATCATTTTGTTGAAAGTTAGCTCATATTTGATATTGTATTAATGATGGCATATCTCAATTGCAGCCTTGCACCAGTTTATTTGTAATTCCTCAGGGAATCCTGGTGTGCAGAAATCTTTAAAGAGTCTCGTTTATTCAATAAATTGTAATTCACAGGATTATTGGGGGGGGGGGGAGCCAGGATTGTTAACCTGATTTTCCAAAAAAAAGAGAAAAGGTACATAGTATAGATCTCCTGTGAGTCTGACTGCAATTAAAGGGCCCAGATTTTGTAAAAAAAAAAAGAAAGTTTGCAATAGGTACGAACAAAATGCAGAGGCTCGAAGTTTAAAAAAACCAGCTTCTGTGTAATGATACCTTGAGATGGGAAAGAAATAATAAAGCATCATATCCAAACTTTTGACCAAGCCAGAGATGGGGACCGGACTAGGAGGCTAAGCCGCTGCACAGGGTGGGCTGAGGAGCAAACCTTCACTGATATTAGAGTTGGCTTATTTGCACCAGAGTAATCACCAGGGATGCGGGTGGCGCTGTGGGTTAAACCACAGAGCTAAGGACTTGCCAGTCAGAAGGTCAGTGGTTCGAATCCCCACAGCGGGGTGAGCTCCCGTTGCCCGGTCCCTGCCCTTGCCAACCTAGCAGTTCGAAAGCACGTCAAAGTGCAAGTAGATAAATAGGTATCTCTCTGGCGGGAAGGTAAACGGCGTTTCCGTGCGCTGCTCTGGTTCGCCAGAAGCGGCTTAATCATGCTGGTCACATGACCCAGAAGCTGTACGCCGGCTCCCTCGCCAATAAAGCAAGATGAGCTCCGCAACCCCAGAGTCGGTCACGACTAGACCGAACGGTCAGGGGTCCCTTTACCCTTTAATCATATTAAAGGGGGAAAAAGAAAGATTTCTCATCCTGAGTGGACCACAGAAACCCAAGGCATTTGTCTTTGTAGTTTCACAACACCCTGAGCTGCCAAAAAGCTGTCCTTGAATTCAATTGCACAGAGGTCAGAATGCCCCATTCTACCCAAGGACAATAGCATGCTCTGTAGCAAGGACTTGGAGATATTTTAAGAGAAATGTCTGGATGTAGGCAGTAACCCTATCCCAGCTAGCATTAGAATCTCATCAGGTTTTCTTGGCTGCAGAGGTAATTTTCTGACTTGGTGAGACAGTGCAACTGCTTTGCTAATTCTCTAGGTTCTTCGTCTTCTTAAATCGTATTTGGAGTCTGTGAAATCTGTGAAAATGCAAAGTTGGAATTTCAGATTCAACCTAATAGAGGACTAGGAGTGGTGGATGAGGCCAGAGTCCAATCTAGTCCAGCATCCTGTTCTCGCAGTGACCAACCAGATGACCATGGGGCGTGCCAAAGGAGGACCTGAATGTAAGGGTGCTTTCCCCATTTGTGACTTCCCACAACTTCCCATACTGCCTCTGACAGTGGGGGTGGAATGTAGCCATCATGACTAGCAGCTGGCTAGTATTAGGCTAGCTTCACTCAATTTGAAGGCCATTCATCAATAGGGGTCATGTTATCCTAGGTTAAGGTTACCAGATTTTTTTCAAAGAATTCAGGGCACTTTTTTTTTTTTTTTGAAAAGAGAAAAAGAAGTTATTCTTTTTAAAAAAATTAAAAAATAAAATAAGTAATATCTTCTCTTCTGTGGTCTCCTCTGTTGTGCGGCCTTCCTCTGGGCCCCGGCCTGCCCTCTTGGGGCGCTAGCCACCATGGAGTAGGCTCGGGTTGGGCGTGGGCTCGGCCACATGTTCTTGCCCTCCTACCTCTCCTCCTCAGCTGCAGCGGCGGCACAGCAAGGTCAGGGCCCCCCTCTTTTTTCTCCATCCTCTTTCTCTCTCTTCCTTCTCCTTCTCCTCTCCTCCTTCTCTCTGCATCAGCTCCAGGGGTTTTACTGGCCCCGGAGCACCGCTGGGCCATCAGCCGGGTGGCCAGGCACTCTCACTCCCAGCTCAATTTGGGTCACGGGGGTTGGTGGTCAGCGGTTTCCCCAGTTGACACACCAGGCGTCCCCAGTTCCCTCTCAGCAGTGGCAGCAGCAGTGGCAGTCTCAGCAGCCCGGAGCCAGCCTGGTAGCGCAGTTGGCTCTGGCTGGCTTCAGGAGCTGCTCGCTGCCATGGCGCCCGCCATTTTGCCTCACCGGAAGTCCCCATATGATGTGTCTTGTGCCGTTGAACCAATCACACAACATTCATTCCCTACTAATAAATCTATAACACTTAAAATATAAATCCAGGGACATTAAATGAAATCGGGGACATTCCGGGGATGGATTTTGTCCGGGGACAGATTTGTAAATCCGGGGACTGTCCCCAGGAAACGGGGATGTCTGGTAACCATATCCTAGGTCCCATGTGGATGTTGACTTTTTAAAATTATGGCAATCCTGTGGCCTTTTGTATATGCAGTTTGGAATTGGGTTGTGTGAGTACAACAAACAACTCTTGGTTGGTGACGCTGCCATTAATGACAAATGTTACAACCCCCTCCCTGTGTCATGTTGTGATGTGAGATGTTGCTGAAGTTTTCCAGCTATGGGATTTGCAAAACCTGCTTCAAGTGACAGGGGAGCTCTGCAAGCCATTAAATTCTTCTCCAGCTCAAATTAACATCTGAACTGGGGAAGAAGGGACCACAAGGATTGTCCAGTTCAACCCTTGCAATCCAGGAATGTTTTGCCCAAATGGAGCTCAAACTCACAACCCTGAGATTAAGAGTCCTCACTTTGTGCTGACTGGTCTCCCAGAGACAACTGGTTTCTCACTGTGGGAAATGGGACATTGGTCTAGAGGTCTTTGATTTTATCCAGCAGGGCTCTTATTGTATTCTTTCATATTCAGAAAGTCCATGGAATATTCTTGTCTGGGGTCTCAGGCCAGATGTTATGGGTATTGCAGAAGCTTTTCTTGCAGCACAAGAATTCTATTTTACGGAAGCGGCGGTTGCTAACAACTGTATAGCAGGTGGAACCGCAGCCTCGCTGAATCTTCACGACCACCGGTCCTAAGGAAGGAGGCAGAAAGAGAAGCAGTTGTGAGGCATGCAAAGTCACTGAGCCCTCAAGTGGGAGAGGCTGGCAGTGCACACTTCTTGGAAGAGATGCACTGCTGTGAAGGCTCCTGGTGTTGCACACTGGTGATGGAGCTGCAACATTTGGTTAATGGTCACTGTTACTTCCCCCAAATTATGAGGCTTGGGACATGTGTGCTTCCTCACCAGCCACCTTCAGTAAGAAAGTTTTATGTCACCCTGAGCAGAAATCTCAGTGGGATGACAATGTATTTATTTTGGGTGGATTCCAAAATAAACTTGAAATGATCCTTCGGGGAGATCTGTACATGAGCCAATTCTGCTTAGCAATGAGAATTCTCCCCAGGTTTCTTTATCTGGGCATGTCTGGTGGAGGAGAGATTCAGTGTCTGCCAGTGTCTGTGGGAGTCTGTGAGCTTATCTCTCTGGCCAGATGGCTGCAGGGAGCAGAAAGGAATGAAATCTCTGTATATAGTTCTGTTTTATTTTATGCCTCCTTCAAGACAAATGGTACTTCCCGCCTCCATGGAAGCATTAATCACTCACTGGACCCACCCAGTCAACCTGCTATGGCTACCTCAAAGAAGCTCAAATGGGCAAGGGTCAAGGTGATCAGCCACACTTCTTCCAGCAGCTCGTCCACAACAATATAAACTGACCCAGCACAGATGGAACAGACTTTGCTGCAGACACCTGCTTGCTCTAACTATGGCATCTAGCACTGTCCAAATCTGAGTGATTTTTCCCCCAAAGAGCCTCGCAAAGTGGTTACAGCAGGCCTCCTAGAGTGTCAGAGGAACCTTCTCTTGGCCAGCTGAGAAAAGCCCATTCACCACTCAGAAAAGCTCTGTTGAACATCTACTTGCAGACGCAGTGGTAGCAGAGAAGTAAGCTTTCTTCTCCTTTGCCACCTCCACCACCATGTGGTAGGCACAGTGATGCCACCTCGGTTAGGTTTGGACCTAGTCTTGCACCATCTACCCTCTAACCTCCAATCCCTTTGCTTCGTTGCATGCAGGTCACTAGAATACCAAGGTGATCTACATGTTCCACAGTAACAGCAAAGCTGCTCAGGGGTGATCGAGTCAGGGGCTCTTGGCATCTCACCATCCCACAGTGAGGCAAGAGCCTCAGCAGGAGTGCCAGCCATGCCAGCCAGGAAATCCCTCAGAGGAATCCATTCAAGAATCCATCAGATTCCATCAGTCTCTGAGGGTGGACCAACTCAATGGGTCCCCCATTCTTGCCGACTGCTGTAGCTACATTCACTCCATCCATCCCTGATAATGGACTCACAACGAGCCTCCCAATCAAAAAAGTATTACCAGTCTTCTTTGTGTCAAAGACCAGGTTGAGGGTATGCCCCACCACATGTGCTGGATAATTGAGGTACTGAGACAGCCCTATGGTTGTCATGGGGGCTACGAAGTCCTGAGCCAGTTCATCTGAGGCAGCCTCGGCTTGGATTTTGAGGTCCCCCAACAACACGTGTGAGGGTTCTCCAACACCATATTTGAGACCACCTCTGCCAACTTGGTCAGGTAGGTTACAAAGGAGCAGGGCAGGTCGTGCACTAACAGCATCCTTATTCTGTCTCTCTAGCCCAGCACCACAAACAATCTCCTGACGCCAGACATGAGTAGATTGATCCCTTGATGAGAAAGATGGAATTTTTATGGAGAACTGCAACTCCCTCTCCCCACCCCTCTAACCTGGAAGGGTGCTGCATATCTGTGCAAACATGCATCTGCTAGTGCAAAGTGTGCATATATTGGTGAAAATAAAATACATTCTTTTTTTTTAATGATATTTATTAAGAATTTTAAGATTACAGAAAAAACAAAGAGAAAAAGAAGAAAAAAACAAGGAAAAAACAAACGGCAATCAAACAATACAAGTCGATAAAAATCAAAAGCAAAAAGCAAAAACAAAACACATAACACATCAAAATCAAAAAACAAAAATAAACCACAAAAGTTTAAAAACAGATCCAATGTTCCCAAATCCTTAACTGTCATTACCTTATTTCATCGACCTCCTCACCCCTCCCTTTTTTGTATTCTAGTTATTAATTATCACAGCAAATCCTTCCCATCTGATATTCTGTCATTAAATTACCTTAATCTATTTTAACCTTATCTTACTATAAAAAACCCTAAAACTTAAAACTTAAGTCTTATTTATACCAATTTCTCATAACCATAACATATTCTTGCATAGTTCTTTTTAACATTTCTGCTAAAGTCAAATAATTTTGTTCCAACATTTTTCTAATACTCATTAATTTTAAAAAACATTCCTAAATAGAATTTTTGAAACTTTCTCCAATCTTCATCCAACGTCTCTTCCTCCTGGTCTCGGGTCTTGTCAGTCCTTTCTATCCCATCCATCTAGTTCATTAACCTGGTAACCTTATGTCCGAGGCCCTTAAGTCTCTTCCATATCCCTTCCGCAGATCTTCTTCATATTTATACCTGTACTTTACTTTGTCTTCTGCTCCTTTCACTCGTGGAGACTCCAGCTTGACAGTATTTTTGTCCCTTCTCGACAGATCAGCCCATTTTCCATAGTCCACACTGAACTCCATGTGGTATTTAAAAGCATGTTTCAAGGTCCCTCCAAAATTGAGGACCCCCACAACTCCAAACTCCTCCAGGCCCAACACCAGACTTGAAAAGTCAAAACATCCCTGCAAAGGGGGGTCTATCCAGCCCCCCATCTCCAAGCCAAACAAGACTCTATCTCTCCAAATCTGGCTTTTTCCAGGTTCATTCGTCAGATCCAACAACTCATGTTCCTGCTGGGCCACGGTTCCCTCCATCTCTGCCTCCTGGGGTCCAGCCACAACCTCCTCCTTCATCTGATCTGTCAGCGCACACTCCTGAATTGATTTTTGAGTGGGTTCTATATAGATACCCACTACCTGTCCAAAATTTCTGATCGCAACAGTCATCAAATCCGTCTTCTCATGTAACTGTTCCAATAAAGCACGCACCAGAGCCTCTGAGTACATTGTTATGCAAGGTCAGAAGTCTGTTCCCACGATCTTAATCTGTTGCAGCTGCGAAGCTCCCCAGTTCAAATTTAATAACAGTTTCACAAGCTCCCTCTAGGGGAAGAACTTCTATTTGTATCCAACCCTTTTCTTTTTTTTTAACAGCAGATCTAACAACAAAGTTTCCTTTTTCAGATATTTTGTCAATATTTGTTCCTTTAAAATGCGAAAGAGGACAATGGAATCACTATGTTTCTCTTCTTTTAACTGTCTGTCAAAAACATTTGTCTATAGTCAATGAACTTCCCAAAAACGTCTGTCCTGACACCCCGCTCCCAGGTTCAAGACGGTGGAAAATTACTTTTCTTTACACTCTCTTCTGCAGGTTTAAACAATCCAGAAAAAAAAACCCCTCTTCTCCTGCTTCCAAAGGGGGTTCAGTAATTTTAGATGATGAAAGTTGATCCTTTACAAATGATTTTCTACACTCTAGTTTGCCATGTCTTTGCTTTAATCTATCTACAAGAAACGGAAGGCTGACTTCCTGTTTAGACCTTCCCGCTTCAGTGCCAAATTAAGAGGAATTTCTTAATCCAATTTTCCATTCTACTCACAGATCGTTGTTTAAAGTCCAATTGTCCAAATTTGATCTGCTCATGGGTAGTTGTTTTTGTAGCCAAATTGTCCCAGGAAAAAGGTAGCACTCTCCGGCAACGGCTGTGCGGCTTCACTCCACGGAAGAAGCAGTTGACTCTCAGCACCACGCCACTAGCCCCTCTTCGCTCCGGAGCCCGTAATTGGGTTCCTTTACGAATTGGGGGGGCGCGAAAGGTGCCCGCCGAGTCCCATGGTCACAGGCTTCATCCGCCTGTGATTTTTTAAAGGGTCCCCGCTTCGCCGTAGCGGAACAGACCCGTTTTCCGTGGAGCCAGTCCCTCCGGATCAGAGGGAATCCGCCATTACCGATGGCGCGACCCCGGAAGTCCCCTAAAATACATTCTATTAGGGGAAATTGCTTTGCAAAAAGAGTGTATATTCACCAGAACTGTATGCAAAAATGTGTATATTGTGGGAAATTTGTACTAATTTTTTTAATGGGGATTTAAAAGTATTCAGAAATTGATGGGGAAATGTTAAGAAGTCAAATACAGAAAAATATTCCACTAACCTACTCAAAGTAGACCCATTGAAATGAATGGGCCCAAGGTGGCCATGTCTCTTAATTTCAGTGGGTCTGCTCTGAGCAGGACTAGCCTGGGATGCAACCCTAAAAACTGGGAAAATGAGAAACTGCAATTGATAGATGCACCCCTCCTTAGTATCAGCATAAAACTCTGTTCTGACCAGCATTAGAGCAACCAGCTGCATGGCGGGTCTTTCATGGACCCTCCTGCATGGCGGGTTTTTCATGGAACCTCCAACCTCACCTCTTACGACTCACCTAGAGAAACTCTCCGAGTGAAGCAGCTTTCTGTAATGCCCCCAGAACAGATGTATGATTTATGGAAACAGGTGTTGTCTTCCTTCACATTGTCACAGACATGGCATTTGATAGCTTCATCTGTGTAAAGCAGCAGAGGGAATGGGAATCATTAAAGATGGTCACTTAGAATGGAGAAGCGACAAGGATTCTGCAGAAAATAGAAAGCATCTCCTTAAGAACTCATCTATGTCATGTCATGGCAGGTGCATCAGAAGCAGTTTCCAGGACTGAGCTGAAACCTCATATTGACTGAAGTCCTATGTGCACTTATTGTGTCTGCAGACTGCCACTATTTTGTGGGAGGGATTCGAGGGTCCTTACTTTGTCTTCTGGAACTAACCGTTCCACAGCTACCATTTCTTCAAGATGCTTTCTATCCTCAGCCTGCCATTGTATCAACAGAAAAGTTTCTTGAGCAGCAGCAGGAGGAGGAGGACTTTGGGTTTTCTGTTATCAATTTACCTAGTTCAAAGCAAAGCAGAAAAAGGAGCCCCAGAGTCATAGACCTGTATGCCTTTGTGCTCATCCTGAAAAGTTAGGTTGGAGAAGGAAAGCAATCTGATGGCTACAGGCAGCAAGTGAATTGCTGAGCACCTCCTACACTAGAGGATGGGAAAGGCAGGCAGGCAGGCAGGCAGGATTTATTCCCGGGCCACAGTTGGGAGTTTGATTGAAATCTTATTGAAGATAGAAGAGATAGGCACCTTCATGTATTTGTCAGATCTAGCAAACACCTGCAGGAGAAATAAAATGTGTGGGTCCCTCTGCGAATGTTCAACCTTTTGAAGGGGGAACAAAGTGATCCATTTATTCATCATCTAAGAATTACATTTTCTGTTTCTTCCTCTGCCAGTTTGGATTAAAAGTGATATTATCATCTTTCCATACGAACCTACCCAGACCCTGAGATCACCTTCTGAGGCCCTTCTCCGTGTGCTTCCTCCTCGAAAGGTCCGGAGGGCGGCAACACAAGAACGGGCTTTCTTTGCAGTGGCTCCCCATCTGTGGAATGCTCTCCCCAGTGAAGTTCATCTGGTACCTTCATTATACACCTTTAGGCACCAGGCAAAAACGTTCCATTTTAATCAGGTCTTTGGGTGATTTGATTAACATCCTATGCCCTTTTACAATGTGGGTGTGTTTTTTTCAGGGGGATGTTATTGGGTTGTTGTTTTTATTCTGATTATATATATTGTGGTTTTATATTTTGATTTTGTTCTGTGAACCGCCTTGAGACCTCCGGTTATAGGTAAAGAAATAATAATAATAATGATAATAATGATGATAATAATGATAATGATAATAATAATAATAATAATAATAATATACAAAGTACCAGAAGCAAAAAGATCCCGTGCAATGAAGGGAGAAAGACCACCAGTTATGCAACATTTTTGGACTGAAAACAACAAAAACAGTGAATTGGCATTCACTGGATTGATTTCTGTTCTGGACTTGAGAAAGAAAAAATGAACATTGGCAATTTGCACTTCTGTTTGTTGTTGTTTTCGCCGGAATTCTCAGGCATCCATACAAGAGTTGGTTGCAGTAAAGTGCAGCACCTTGAGATGAGCTCTGTAGGATTAAATTCTGAATGAACATTGATAGAATCAAGCTGTGAGTCGTATATGCTTAAAACTTTATAACACAAAGAGGCGCCTCTCCAAATCCCAGGTGATAGGTACACTGGACAGAGAAATGCTTATTATTGTTACAACCCACTAACTAAACTTCACAGAGACATTTTATTCATTATATTTTTTTATTCTGCCCATGCTTCAAGGAGTTCAGGTTTTTCCCTATGTCCATTTTGCCCTTCTCATAACAGATTTGTTTATTATGTTATTTATATACCCCCCTTCATCATAAGATCTTGGGTCTTATAACAGATGAATAGATCTACTTCAAAGGCAAAACATGCATTGATTGCTGCACCCCAAATTATTATTACTGTATAATTGTAAAAAAAAGTATAATATTAGAAGGATGTATGAGGTGCATGGTTGTAACAGGGCGCAGCTGTGACTACCCCACTTCAGCACTTCTGAATTTGCCACTACAGCGCCATTGTCAAGGGGAGAAGAACTGAGCCGTCACATGAATTTTGAGACTCAGGCAGGATAAGGCTAAGATTTAGCATCCCCACCACCACCCCTTTCTCCCTTGATGAAATGGCCGTTTTCTGCAACTTGCCTTTTGTATTTCTTGGCAATGTTCTTTCCTTATCCAATAAGTTCATGGTTTCGTAGACTCAATAATGCTTGATCTTAACAAAATCCTACCAGACCACTCCTGCGTTTATCTGTATTACAGCTGTTTTTACTCCTGCATTGTAGGGGGTTGTAGAAGACCCTTGGGGTCCCTTCCAACTCTACAATTCTAAGGGGGGATAGGTTCTAATGATCTGGAATTCTTCTGGTTTTAGAAATCACAGCATGCTACTTGTAAGTGAATGTTTTACCACCATTTTGAGTTACAGATTATTCCTACCAAGGGCATGAGATATGAGGGGCCTTGTGCTTCAGTGATGAATTTGCACGTTGATATTTTTAATAGATTACTGCTTAAGATCCAATATATAAACCCACCTCCATTCATCCTACAATCCAGTTTATAACCTTGACCATAAATAGCACTTCATTCTTTGGCTGACTTTTGGATTCTCTGTTATTGCTGTAACTTCGTCCCACATTTTGAACCAGTAGAATGAAGATGTTGTACAAGATGCCAGCTGTCAGTTTCTTAGTTGCTCTCTGCTTGGAGACCATTGGTAAGTCTTTGTCTGCTCAGTCCAAATGAGGTGTCATTGCCACTAAAGCCGCAAGGCTGTGCAAACCTTTTTGAGAAAAAGTCTCAGTGAGTTCAGTAGGACTTAGTTCTGAGTAAGCATCCATAGGATTAAGCTGTGACTCTTTCACAAAGATCTTTCAGTGAAAGTCGAAGTCATAAGCTATGGGAACATTTTTCAGAGTGATCATAGTTGTTTTTCAATGGTGGTGTGAACCCAGCTTTGCAACTTGCCATATGCACATATCCAGGCAAGCAGATAGGCAGGAATGCAAGGTCCAATTCACCATACACTCAAAAATCAAGGGGGGGAAATGTTTGGAAAACAAAAGGTCACTTGCAACACCCATCCACCCATGAGAGAGAGAGAGAGAGAGAGAGAGAGAGATTTACTATAAACCGATTATTGTTTCTCTTTGAAAATATTTTTTATTAATTTTCAATTACAAAAATCCAATATATACCACATTGTATCCAGAACAGATTCTTGCTCCCAAAGGTATTCTGTTGAGCCAGTTCTAAAGGTCATAGCCCCTTGTTTTAGAATTCCAATGTAAAGGCATCTTTTCCACCCTTGATAGGAAAAGCTACGTTTGTGATGGCTGTTTTGTAACAGCAAGGAGCACAAACTATGCTTTCTCTTGCATCTGGCATTGAAATTCAGGCAGTTCTGCACAGCTTCTCCTGCCTTCTTACAATTCCCAACAAGCCAGGTTTAGAGCAGCCACTTTCAAAGCCAATTCCCAGGCAGGTCTGTTGGCCACTAGCCATGCTTCCACAGGTTCCTGCCAGAAGCCCCAGAAAGGAGATCCCACACTGGGACTGAAATAGAACAGCTGGTACAATCACTTCACTGTCCCACTAACAGAAGAGGAAGTGAATGGGGTTATATAGTCACCCCCTTTTAGGAGACCCAACAAGAGGAACAAGCTTATATTCTCTTGGTGGGGGTGGGGATGTCTGCCCCCCGGCCTAACTGGACATGCCATGAGTCCCAATTTCTCCCCTGGGACCATTTACCCCAAACTGCTGTGGTCTAAACTACTGAGCCTCTTGGGCTTGGTGATCAGAAGGTCGGCGGTTTGAATCCCCACAACGAGGTGAGCTCCCATTGCTTGGTCCCAGCTCCTGCCAACCTAGCAGTTCGAAAGCATGCCAAAAAGTGCAAGTAGATAAATAGGTACTGCTCCGGCAGGAAGGTAAACAGTGTTTCCGTGCACTCTGGTTTCCGTCACGGTGTTCCGTTGCACCAGAAGCAGCTTAGTCATGTTGGCCACACGACCCGGAAAAACTGTCTGCGGACAAACACCGGCTCCCTTGGCTTGTAAAGCGAGATGAGCACCACAACCCCAGAGTCATCTGCGACTGGACTTACCGTAACTGTCAGGGTTCCTTTACCTTTTTACACCCCCCCTGCCCCACACTTGATGTGATATGTGACATCAGGTGCTGGTCAGGTAGCAATGTGGCTGCCAATGTGCAATGCAGGGGGGCTTGAAGCATGCTCCTGATTGTGCACTGGCAATCAGCTGATTGGCACTGGTTTTCAGCATAAAAGGATCAGCTGCAATACTGATCCCAGCAGAAAAGCAGAGCTGAACATTAGCAGTCACTTCAAGCCCTGTTTGGCTAGGCAGTCTCTGTTCACCTCTTGATATGGGCCCCCAAGGGTAGGGAAACCCAGGATCTGTCTTGCCAGCCGGGTCCTGTTCCCCACCCCTGTCTTAGTACTAAATGAGCAAGAGGCTAGGCCTAATTGGGCTAGGTTTGCCCCCTCACTGTGGTGTTCAGTGAACATGTCCCACAGCAGTGGATGAAGGGACTCTGTGTTAAGAGCTTCAGTGTGTGAAGGAAGACTTGGGTCTATTCAGGTTCCCCTCTCTTGTAGGAGAACTCTAGTTGTGTGGACATGTATTGGTCACACCCAGAGATTATTTTTTTCCAGTCAGAACTTTCAGGTGGGTGCCATTGCCATTCTAAGAGTATGAGGGAGGTGTTTCATGGTGAGTTCCGGTACCTCTTTTTCTAGAAAAATGGCACTGATGACATCACATCACATGCTGCCTGAACAGGTGGTTGGTGGGACTGCATAGTTAATCAGTGTATTGAATTCCCCCCCCCCCCCAGAGGTAAAAGCGAATAGCAGAGATCTCAGGTGTCATGGCTGTGATGATGTACAACCGGACAATACATGCGCAAAACACAAATTCACCTGTATTACTGAAAGCACTGGGTATTGTTACAACAGAATGGTGAGCTATGGTGAGTCTTAAAGGGAAAATGGGATGGGGAGTTGGATTTGACTGGCAAGCCAGATTATTATCTCCCTCAGCCATTGCAGACCAGGTTTCGACAGGTGAATAGAGTTATCCTACTTTCAGTCACCTGATGCCCAGTGAAGGCTGGCCTATTAGGGCCAAGGAGACACTGCCCCACCAAACTCAGTCTGCCCTCAGCCAGCCCTCACTTGCCCTGCTGAAATATACTCGGAGTCGAGTGTGGATTTCATGCTCTTTATTCAGCTCATAGTAGTAAGGAATGAAAGTTCCCCCAAAATATCTGCTTTATATACATTATTTACACAATGGGTCGCATGTGATTGGCTAATTCTGGGGATTCTCCTGTAGGCCAATCAGCTTGCGGATTCACTTCCACCTGGAGCTGGATTGGGTGGCTCCTACGGACCAATCATACTGCTGCATTGTTCTAGGACCAATCAGACTGCTGCATTCTGGACCCTATTGTTTAGGACCAATCAGACTGCTGCATTCTGAATCCTATTGTTCTAGGACCAATCAGACTGCTGCTTTTTTGGATCCTATTCAACTCAGTACATAACACCTGCCTTCTTAATTACAACCAGTCCAGAGGGTGAAACTGGGGGGTCAGCTTCCTCCTCCTGAATCTCAATGAGGAGGAGGATTGAGGGGGGAGGACACTTGAATTGGCTCTCTTCCATGAACTCTGGTTTCACTTACTGTCAGAGGTCCCTGCTTGCTGCCCCACCAGCCGCAAAGAGCACCAACCACCACAGACCAGAAGAAAAGGGAAAGGCACAGATAGCTAGATAAACTAGAGCAAAAGTAGAGAACCTAAGGCCCGGGGGCTGGATGCAGCCCAATCGCCTTCTAAGGCCCAGGAATCAGCATGTTTTTACATGAGTAGAATGTGTCCTTTTATTTAAAATACATCTCTGGGTTATTTGTGGGGCCTGCCTGGTGTTTTTACATGAGTAGAATGTGTGCTTTTATTTAAAATGCATCTCTGGGTTATTTGTGGGGCATAGGAATTTGTTCATCCCCCCCCCCCAAAAAAAAATAATAGTCTGGCCCACCACATGGTCTGAGGGATGGTGGACCAGTCCACGGCTGAAAAAGGTTGCTGTGCCCCGGAACTAGAGCCATGTCTTTATTTGATGTCAACAAACTGGGATCTGTAGTCATCCCCCATTACAGAAACTAAAGCTTGGTCTGCCTATCATTGGCTCTGTGTTCACCTACTGTTGGCCTGTCTGCTTTTGATGGGCACTAGCCACAAATGCTGATGTCACAATGACACCAGTTGACCTTTTTTTGCCCACATGGGTCTTACAAAGATAGTGCTTTGCATGGGGCATCTAAAGACCCAACAATCAGCTGGCAGCCGAATCTCACCAAGCCTCTTTGAAAGCATTGTTGGAACTTCAGAAGCCCCTTTCAAAGTGCTGACTTGTGGAGCACTTTGCTGTGGATTCACCCTTGCTGAACGCCATATGTGCCGAGTTAATCCTGTGTGGAATGCCCGCACTGCAACTTTGAGGCCAAAGTAGATGTGTGACAGCAGCAAACCTATGTGTCCTAATCAGGCGACTCCTGAATTCCTGTAAAGGGGGATGCAAAGTGAATTAATGCAATTGGAGAAGTGTTTGTTTTTGAACCTCCTCAAATATTAGCGGTAGCAGTTGTACTTAGGAAAGCATAACTACATTTTTGCATGCCTGTCCAAGTAGAGTTTTCTCACATTCGGGAATGTTTGAAATATTTCCACCACAAATTCGTTGCCACCCAAGGCTGACTCTTCTCTATTTTTGTCTCTTTTCATGGGCACAGATGATGCAACACTGTTCGTGGACCGAGGCTGCGTTGGTACTTGTATTCATCTACGACGAGATGCGCACTATAGGAATCTTACCTGGTGCTGTCAAACTAATTACTGCAATATGGAAAATATCTGGCCCCATGATGTCCCATCAGAGCTAATAATAACATAACAGCATAACAATGGTTTGAGACAGGGATTCTGGGAGCTTGTGTAGCAATGTGCCCATTCTCTCCCCTACTCCCAATCACAACGCATCTTGTGCCTTTCTTTCTTTCTTGCATTGCTTTGTCAAAGGAATTACATGTTACATTTATGCCATTTTTAATCCATGTTACTTTGTAAATACTATATAATGTTTCCCTTTATGTCACTACATCATTCTTCAATGTTCATAATATTTTCTCCTTCATCCATTTTCTGGATGAAGCAGTGTGTATCAATAAGCCAATAAATTCATTTCTACTGCAGCCTGATTAATGCATATAATTTCACAAGATATATATACCACTTGATTGTAATAAAATATCAAAGCAGTTGCTCTTGATCAATAGTTATGCTATACCCCCTGACTCACTGGGTTTCTAAAGTGCAATTTGCAAGACAGATTAGATCACCAACATCATTGTTAGATAAACCCACCAGAGTAGGAGAGGCATAGCTGTCAATGTTTCCCTTTTTTAAAGGGAAATTCCATTATTCCGAATAGGATTCCTCGCAAGAAAAGGGAAAAGTTGACAGCTATGAGGAGAGGCCCACAAGGCCAAGGGCCTCCTAAAACCTGGAGATGCCCCTCATTGGCAATGACAGTCACAAAAAGATATTGAACTAGGAACTCAGCTAGATCAGTAAAGAAAAATTGTTTTATATGTGATATATATGTGATATAACACTGTGACACCAGATGGCGCTGTGGACTCCCGTCTTTCCCTACTGGATTTTCCTGTATGAGGTTTGTAAAGGTAAAGGGACTCCTGACCATTAGGTCCAATCGTGACCGACTCTGGGGTTGCAGCTCTCATCTCACTTTATTGGCCGAGGGAGCCGGCATACAGCTTCCGGGTCATGGGGCCAGTATGACTAAGCCACTTCTGGCGAACCAGAGCAGCGCACAGAAACGCCATTTACCTTCCTGCCGGAGTGGTACCTATTTATCTACTTGCACTTTGATGTGCTTTCGAACTGCTAGGTTGGCAGGAGCAGGGACCGAGCAGCGGGAGCTCACCCCATCGCGGGGATTTGAACCGCCAACCTTCTGATCAGCAAGCCCTAGGCTCTGTGGTTTAACCCACACCGCGTATGAGGTTTACAATGCGTTTAACTGAAACACTTCTTTGGTGTGCCTAGATATTGTTTTAAAGAGAGTACTCACTTCATCTTTTTTGTATCATAGATAGAGTCCCACACCAAAATCAAATGTTTGGCCAACTTCCTGTTACAGACCTTGAGTGATGGGAGAACATCATGGGGCAACCTGACATAGCATTTCATCAGCCTGATTCTTAGGATGTTCCTCCCAGCATGGGACCTAAACCTTATTGTTTTCTTTGTGTTTGGTCAGAGCTCACTGCTATTGCTTGCTGTCTATACAACAGCCAGGTGGAAGTAACTCATCATGTACCTGACACATGGTAGCTACTTTGAAAGACTGGAACAATCCACTCATTTATCCCTTCAGAAATTCCCTTGTTTTTAGGTACAAAAGCTATGTTTATAGGTCACGCCTGTTTGTGTTTTCAGGTCATCAGTCTCTTTACCATACATCTCAGGACAAAATAAGATGTCATGGGAGAGGGGAAATGGGGTTTCCAACCATACATTCCTCTTGTTACCTTAACATGGAGACTGGGAATGGGGACGTGTCAATGTGGGAGAGAACTGGCAGGCAGGTTTAACCTTTTCCTCACACTCAGATTCTCCACTGAAAATGCTGCAAGATACAGAGGGAAGATAATTTTGTTTGGTTTGCATTTTAAAGCAAACTAACCTACATTATACCTTCCATGGCGGGTGGTGCTGCGGTCTAAACCACAAAGACTCTTGGGATTGCTGATCAGAAGGTCGGTGGTTCGAATCCATGCGATGGGGTGAGCTCCCGTTGCTCTTTTCCAGCTCCTGCAAACCTAGCAGTTCAAAAGCACACCAGTGTGAGTAGATAAATAGGTACGCTGTGGCAGGAAGGTAAACAGCATTTCCATGTGGTCACAGTGTCCCATTGTGCCAGAAGCAGTTTAGTAATGCTGCCACATGACCCAGAAAGGTTTCTGTGGACAAACACAAACTCCCTCAGCCTGAAGCAAGATGAACACCGCACCCCATAGATGCCTTGGACTGGACTTAACCGTCCAGGGGTCCTTTACCTTTACTTTTTTACCTTATACCTTCCACACTAATGCACAGATGAAGACATAGTTATCCTTTAGATTTCATACTTCTCTGAGATGGTTACTTCCAGGTGCTACAGATTTTTCAACCTGTTTTTAAATGTACATGAAAAACATACCAGTCATGGCACCACAGCTTCCCTGGGTGTGGGAATCTGAGGGGAAGGGAGATCTAGCTAAAACAGGGTGTTCTCTCTCTGCTTGCCCACCCTTCCCATTAGTCTCTTTCTGCCACCAGGTGAAAAAGTTTATTTCCTGCAGGATGCCTTTTACCAATCACCCATAAAACCAGAGCTCCCCCCCCCCCAGATGGGTGCCATTGCCATTATGAGAGAACAAGGGAGGTGTTCATGGTGAGTTCCGGCACCTCTTGTTCTAGAAAAATAGTAAAGGTAAAGGGACCCCTGACCATTAGGTCCAGTCGTGGCCAACTCTGGGGTTGCGGTGCTCATCTTGCTTTATTGGTCGAGGGAGCTGGAGTACAGCTTCCGGGTCATGTGGCCAGCATGACTAAGCCGCTTCTGGCAAACCAGAGCAGTGCACGGAAATGTGCACTTCCCGCTGAAGCAGGACCTATTTATCTACTTGCACTTTGACGTACTTTCGAACTGCTAGGTTGGCAGGAGGAGGGACCAAGCAACGGGAGCTCACTCTGTCGTAGGGATTCGAACCGCCAGCCTTCTGATTGGCAAGTCCTAGGCTCTGTGGTTTAACCCACAGCGCCACCCACATCCCTGTAGAAAAATAGCACTGCTTAAAACCTCCTTTCTTCTCCTCCAGAACCCTGAAGATGGCCTAGACTTTGACTCTTGAGCATGGAGTGAAATATTAATGGAGATCACAAGTCATTGATGAAACAAAATCAACACTTTACTAATGGGATAAACCTCAACCACATGAAGACAGTAAGATTGTTTCAGGCATGACACCCACACCATTTTTCTTCAAGTACACGGCAAGCCTGCCAAATCTACATGAGTCTCTAACTGTTCTTCACCCTCTTAAAGCTCTTTTAAAAAAAGAAAAGAAAACTCACCAAGGTCAAGGTTGTAAAATGAAGTCCTCCAGAATTTGCTTCCCATCACCCAGAGCAAAGAGGCTGCAATGCCTCACCGGTTGCTTTTATTTGACTTTGAGGTCCTCGGCTTCTGTTCCTTCCTTGGAAGAAAGAAACGAAAAGATGAGCAACGTTCTGGCAATAGGCTTCTTAGCCCTGCTCTACCTTCATGCTGGTAAGTCACAGAGTCAAGAAGAACAAAGCGCTGTAAAAGGGACCTGCTTGGACAAAAGCCATTGGGGAGAGCTGAGTTAACTTAGACCACCCAGTCTTGAGAACTCCAGTGTTTGTTGAAGCTGCTATAGCTTACTGCTGTAGTGGAGAATAATAGTAACAAATGCATCTCAAATAATAGTGAAGAATCTTCTTTAGCAGTGGAGACTCCCTGCACAATTTCTTACCCTTTGCCATATGCTCAGCCTTTCTAAGTGTGAAGGCGCTCTTGCAAGTTGGGGGCTTGCATGGGGGAAAGGGGGCCATGCTTCTTTTAAGATGGTATGTTGACCATCAAAGATAAACACCCACTCTCTATTACACAGGGGTCTGAAAACATTAACACCCTGGCTGCATTTGAACACACTTTTCATAAGTGCCACCTTCATTCGGATACCTAACTGGACATTTGGATGGCCTATATTCCATCCGTTTCGGAGCCCTAATCCAGCCCACCAGCCCCTGTGGCAGTTTATTTCCTTTGGTAAAATCCCTCACAACTCCAACTCCAAAAAAGCAGCTCAACAACTTCAATCCTAAAAAAAACTTTGGTTGGCCCTTTGGTTGGCCCCCAAGGCCCTTCACTTCATCAAATCTGGCCCTCTTTGAAAGAAGTTTGGACACCACTGGCCTATAATATATCAAGCTATATCTAAAAGCTAAGATTAATTATAGCAGGAGTGAGGAACCATTTTTATCCCAAGGCCCAAGTTTGCTTGAGCAAACTTGCTCAAGTAATAAAGTTTAATTTTATTTTTATCAGACCATGTTAAAATGTGTCGCGCGAAATGGTTGCCTCCCCCCTCACCACAAAAAGCCCAGGTAGAGCATTTTAAACCAGCAGTTCTACATTTAAATGTAAAGAAAATTACTGTATTTTTCGCTCTATAAGACGCATCAGACTACAAGACGCACCTAGTTTTTGGAGGAGGAAAACAAGGAAAAAAATATTCTGAATCTCAGAAGCCAGAACAGCAAAAGGGATCGCTGCACAGTGAAAGCAGCAATCCCTCTTGCTGTTCTGGCTTCTGGGATAGCTGCGCAGCCTGCATTCGCTCCATAAGACGCACACACATTTCCCCTTACTTTTTAGGAGGGAAAAACTGAGTCTTATAGAGCAAAAAATACGGTATATGGGACAGCTTGTAATTTCAACTGAAGCTTCCAGAATTCTCTCTTTCCTTCATCCCCCATTGGGGAAAAATAGATTCCCTCTGAAATCCAGTGGCGTAGTGTGGGGGGTGCAGGGGGGGCCGGCCGCACCGGGTGCAACATCTGGGGGGGGGGCGCTCGCACTCGCAGCTCTCTGCCCCTACCTGGCTCACTCACTCTCTCTCACTGCAGTGCTGGCTGTGCGAATCCGATCCGAGCCGCTGGGTCGCCGCCCACTGTGGAGGGGTGGGTGCCAGGCGTGCGGTGCAGAGAGAGAGCGAGGGACTATCTGGGGGAGGGACAGTGCAGCGGCCGCCCAGCGCAGCGCTGAGCGCGGGAGAGAACCACACCAGACCAGACCAGGCAGCAGCAAGAAGAAGCTGGCAGCGGCGGCATGTTAGGGGTTAGGGGGCGCAAATTACTTGCCTTGCCCCGGGTTAGGGGGCGCAAATTACTTGCCTTGCCCCGGGTGCTGACAACCCACGCTACGCCGCTGCTGAAATCAAGTACCCAGGTCTGGCCCAAGACATGTTGGCACCAGAGGTGAACCACAAAATGGTTCCCCCTCTCCGTCAGGGAAGACGGGGTGGTTGAAGATCTACATCAGGAACAGGGGGCAGGGCAGAGAAAGATCTACACTGGGATCTGCTGCTCGTGTGGCTCCTGCTCGTGTGGCTCTAGCTTAGGCTATGTGCCTTGAGGCATGGTTTCTAAAAGTGAGAAAAGCAGGGACAAATGGGCACGGACATTTTCTCCCTAGCTTTTTCTAGTCAAAAGAGTTGCTTAGTTTTGCTTTTTAAAAAAACTGTTTCCTCTCCAAAGGTGGGATCCATTGCTAGTGATGTAGACTGGCTAAGCAGAGAAGGTGGACAGAAGGCTCTCAGTAATTGGAAATATATTGATGCTATTGATTCCCTCCTGTGACAGGAGAAAGACTGAACCATGGCTTTGAAGGGTTTTTGTGGGGGGGGGTCAGAATCTTGGACAGCTCCACCCCACTTTGAGCATAAGAGAACTTCCCCTGATCTCTTGTTGAGTGTGTTGGCAGGTTTTGCCTTTCCTGTAGCAAAACATCACAACTTTGGCAGTATCAGGCCTTGGGCAGAATCCTTTAGTCTATCTTCCTGAATGGGAGGGGCGTGCAGCGGTGACCCACGCCCCCTTCCTCTTTGCAGCGGCGATACCAGGGTTCCCCGTTAAAGGGGTTTCTGAAGGGAGGCTTTGACCGTACGCCGAGAGGTCGTCATTGCTTTCCCCTGCGACGGCGGCGTAACAGGGGCGGCTATCTCTGCTTGAACATATGTTCTCCAGAGCCGGCCCATTCCCCCCCCACACACTGGATAACCCTGATGTTCCCTAGAGTCCCAGCTGGGGACTGGGGAGGGATAATGCCCAATGCCTGAGCCAAGGTCTACCCACATCTGAAATATAATAAAGTTGTGGCCAATTTAATCCCATAGAACATTGTCTTGAGTCGTTAATCCACATGGAGGGGGCTGCCCAGGGTTTGGGGGACTCTGCCTGTCCACGCAATTGGAAATATATTGATGCTATTGATTCCCTCCTGTGACAGGAGAAAGACTGAACCATGGCTTTGAAGGGGTTTTTTGTGGGGGGGTCAGAATCTTGGATAGCTCCACCCCACTTTGCGCATAATAGAACTTCCCCTGATCCCTTGTCGAGTGTGCTGCTTTTCATGCAGCTATGGCTATCGCCTGTTCTAGCCTGGGGAGCCATTTTCTTTCTTTCTTTCTTTCTTTCTTTCTTTCTTTCTTTCTTTCTTTCTTTCCTGTTTTCATTCATTTTCATGGTACAGAAAATATTTTTTTTAGAAAACAATTGCTACAACAGTAAACCACAAGTAACTTGTCCTGATAAAATTACAGACTTTTTATCACGCCATGTGTTAAAGTTTCATTTGATTACTCTAAGAGATGATGACACATTTTCCCATTCTTAGTAGCAACTCACTTAATGTTTTCCCTTTCTCTTCATCTGGCTCAGCTGGAGCTCTAAAGTGCCTGGAATGCAAAAAAGTTGCACAAGATAACAACTGTAAGCATAAAGAAAAAACATGCTCAGCGAGATTGTGGAGATTCTGCTATTCCCGGCTGAAGGTTGAAGGTGAGTCCAGGAGGCAATGATTACCATATTTTTTGCTCTATAAGACTCACCTTTTCCCTCCTAAAAAGTAAGGGGAAATGTGTGTGCGTCTTATGGAGCGAATGCAGGCTGCGCAGCTATCCCAGAAGCCAGAACAGCAAGAGGGATTGCTGCTTTCACTGTGCAGCGATCCCTCTTGCTGTTCTGGCTTCTGAGATTCAGAATATTTTTTTTCTTGTTTTCCTCCTCCAAAAACTAGGTGTGTCTTATGGTCTAGTGCGTCTTATAGAGCGAAAAATACGGTACTTTTGGGATCCTGCGCACACAATGGAAAGAGAATTCTGCTGGAATAGTTATAATCCAGCTTGTTCTTAAAATACATTTTGCAAGATCTTGCTGCAGACATACAGAAAGCACTTTCTGAGGCTGCCTCCTATTGGTGAAGACCTACTGATGTTGGGGGGCTGTGCCACTCACCCTTGACATGTTATTTATTTTTTATTAATATACATTTTTATTGGTTTTTACATATTTTTCCAAACAGAACATATAATCTCATCTCATCTCATCTTATACAACATTTTGGCTATTTTAGCCTGAGACTTCCATCAACCACGTCTAATGATTTTCAAACCTCATCTCTTAATCTTACATTTGATCCTAACTATTACTTTTAATAACCCATAGCTTAAAATCCATTCTCATAAATCGTTTCTGCAATATTTCATATAGTTTTCCTTACAAAACTTCTTGTAGTCCTACAAGCGTAGTCAGTTGGTTACAATTGTCTTTCAGATAACTTGTATATTTACTCCAATCTTTCAAGAATTTCTGGTCCCGCTGGTCATCCTTGGCATGTTTAATTTGTCTATCGATTGAATAGCTACCTCTGTATACTGATATATACACTTTGTATATCACTATATAAGCATACCAGTTTCCAGCCTCTCTCTTTCAAAAGACTACAAGATAGGTAGGTAAGGTAATGTAAAGAACCCCTGGATGGTTAGGTCCAGTCAAAGGTGACTATGGGGTTGCGGCGCTCATCCTGCTTTCAGGCTAAGGGAGCTGGCATTTGTCCACAGACAGCTTTTTGGATCATGTGGCCAGCATGATTATTTTTCCTTTGGCACAATGGAACACTGAGATGGAAGCCAGAGTGCACAGAAACGATGTTTACTTTCCTGCCATATTGGTACCTATTTATCTACTCACACTGGCATGCTTTCGAACTGCTAGGCTGGCAGAAGTTGGGACAGAGCAATGGGAGCTCACCCTATCATGCGGATTCGAACCACCAACCTTCCGATCGACAAGCTCAAGAGGCTCAGTGGTTTAGAACACAGTGCCACCCGAGTCCCAAGATAGGTAGATATTTGCTTGTCAACTGTACTGTTAAATACATAGGTGATCTGCCATGAAAACCCTGCCACCACGCTATCTCAACTGAAAAAAATAGAAATAGGAAATAGGGGGGAAAATGTATGTTAAGGTTGCATTCCAGTAAAGATGAAACCATCATTTTCGTACTCTTGCCCCATACAGTGGTACCTCTGGATGTGAACAGGATCTGTTCTGGAGCCCCATTTGCATCCAGAAGCGAATGCAACCTGCTTCCGCACATGCACGTGACCTCATTTTGACTGTCTGTGCATGTGCGAGCTGTGAAACCCGGAAGTAACATGCTCTGTTACTTCCAGGTCGCCACAGCGTGCAACCCAAAAATACTTATCCCGAAGCTACTTCAACCCAAGGTATGGCTGTAATTGGTAAGAGTTCGTCCTCTGTAAATGGCTGAAGTTTGTTACAGGAGAGGGAGACACAAGTCTAGAAATGTCATATCACATGTCTATTGAATGTACCCAAAGGAAGCTCAGGAGGACCTTTCAGAGCTAACCTCCCCACTGTACTAACTGAGGCATTTCTGCTAATCCTGTTATAGTTATCATTAATGCAATTTATTTAGCTTGTTGTTGCTTACTGTTAAAAAAAAATGAAACTCCACGTGACTGGGGTTTTTTGTTTTTTGCTTTAATCTTGCAAGTCTGTTGGGCCATTGTCTACCAGGAGACATCTCTGTGTATATAGCTGAAGGAGCATCTCCACCTCCATCGTTCTACCCGGACACTGAGGTCCAGTGCCGAGGGCCTTCTGGCAGTTCCCTCACTGCGAGAAGCCAAGTTACAGGGAACCAGGCAGAGGGCCTTCTCAGTAGTGGCACCCGCCCTGTGTTCCACCCTCCCATCAGATGTCAAGGAAATAAACAACTATATGACCTATAGAAGGCAGCTGAAGGCAGCCCTCTTAAGGGAAACTTTTAATGTTTGATGCATTACTGTATTTTAATATTTTGTTGGAAGCCCAGCCAGATGGGTGGGGTATAAATAATATATTATTATTATTATTATTATTATTATTATTATTATTATCTGGAATGCATGCAGTTCTCAGTTAGGGAAGAGGCAAGGGCAAATCAGCTCCAATATCAACCCAAAGCACCCATGGGCAGGGACCCAGCACCCTGGAATATCCCAAGGGTGTCGCTCACAATGGCAATGAATGTGTTAATCCTACTTGTGATTACATGGTAAGGGAGGAAAGGTTCTTTCGGGGGAAATACGCTTATCAAGTTGGGGTGTCCCATGGTACATTTTTGTCTTTCTTTCTCTTTTATCCAGGAGCCACCTCAAGTGTGGATCGGGGATGCTCTGTGGTTTGTCGCAGCGTAAAGAATATGAAAAGTCAACGCGATGAGAAAATGATGTGTTGCGTGAGAAACCTTTGCAACACACACAACATGTGGCACAATAAATAAATAGTTCTGAGCAGAGAGATGAAGAATAAATCTTTATTGGGAATGAATTTATGTTTTTGACTGAATTTCCACAGTAGCAGACTTATGGATGCAAAGGTTGGGAACCTTTCTCAGCCTCAAGACCACTTTCCCTTCCGGGCATTATTCCAGGAGCCACACACTCGTGGTGGGCAGGTCCTGAGAGAACAGTTACTGCAAATTTTACCTTTGTGCAGTAGACTAAACTCCATGCATACACACACACACACACACACACACACACACACACACACACCATCCTCCTTTCAGACAAGCAAGAGGCCATTATCAGAGTTTCAAGAAACACTCCAGTCAGGCAAAAACACTCATGGAAACTGATGAGGTGTGTGGCTTGGAGAAAGTTTTGAGGGTCAAGCACAGTGGTTCCCCAGGTCTGAAGTTCCCCCAATGCTATGTTCACACATGGCTCTTAACAGCACATGCACAATGAGAACCGGTGAAATTTGATGCAGGATGATTCACTGAGGTAGAAGGTATAGAATAGACTAGACTAGACTAGAATAGAATAGAATAGGCAACTTGCTTGCTCAGAAAAAGCTGTTACAGTTTCTTCTCCCTTCCCCTCAGGGCAAGATGATCATAGAATCAAAGAACTTCGTGGTTGGAAGGGACCAGACTTTCCGGGTGGTCATTTGTGAGACTCCAGGACTGTTGGGCTCATTTGACTTCATCTCTGAGGTCCATCCTTGGCCTCAACTCTGACTCAGCCTCATGAAGAGTGAAGGCCTCAGACACCGTGAGGAACACCCACCCACACCATTCTTCCTCAGGAACATGACAGACCTTCAGATAGTACATGAGTATCTTCCTGTCCTTCATGCTCAGTGCCCACAATAATAAGGCTCTAATAAGGAGGATGGCCAATGATATCCACCCACTTTGTTCTTCCCATCATCCAGTATAGAAAGATAGCCACTTCGCACTGTCCCCTTACATTTGAGGTCCTTGGCTTTTCTTCCATTGTTGCTTGGAGGAAGCAACTCAAGATGAACAAGGCCTTGGAAATGGGCATCTTAGCCTGGCTGTGCTTTAACACAGGTATGTCCCAAACGCAATACAAACAAAACATTAGAGAGTAGCCTTTGCCAACCCAGTGCATTCTAGATACTTTGGACTACAGCTGCCACCACCTGTGCTGGTCACTTGATAAGCAAAGGCTGTCCTAGAGCACAGGTCTTCCACTATGGGTCATGGCCTGACCCAATCTGGGTTGCAACAGGAGCAGTGCCACTTTGCAAATATATTCTATGAAGTTAAGAAATGGGTCTTGTTTGGGTTAAAAGTGGGTACTGGGTTTGAAAAGGTTGCCTCTCAATTTTAAATTGAGATTTAAATCCTGCTTGCATTGCTTCCCGGGTATTTAATGAAATTCTTACCTTTTGCTGTTGTTGTTGTTTATGCTGTGTTATCATTTATTGCTACTACTTTATGAAGCATCCAGAAAACGTCTCTCCATACCTTATTACATTCCTGAAGTAAGCATCAGCTGCAGTTGGGTTTTTCCTGGAGTTGTCTCATTTTCCATTCCACCCCTTTCTTTCTCTTTGAAGCCCACAACACTCTGTCAATGTTTCTTTTTTATTTCTGCACACTCGGAGGAGGAGGTGTCCCCTCTAACCTGACACTGATTATTACCAGGGAAGCTTCCTACAAACATTGACAGAGGTATGAACCAGTCACTATTGCCTCCTCACATGGAGAAAAGTAGATTTTTAAAAGGGGGGGGGGGAATAAGATGATGGTGGTAGTGATGATACTGTACTTCTCCACATAAACTATTGTAGCAGAGTTCTTCATTGTTCTTCAGGTGACATTTTGGGTATCTTGGCTTTTTGCAAAGCCCACGAACATAGAGAAAAATAGAAATATATGACAATACAGAGGTATAAGTGATACAGAACTGCAGAAACAACAGGGCACAGGGTGACCAAAGGTTTATGGGGGCTCTGATACGACGTCTTACTGACAATGCATCCTGACTGGCGGGGGGAGAGATCCATAAATTACCCCAATTCATCTCTTAGAGTTGATGCATAGCTTGGTAAACACAGTTCTCAAGCAAGAAGCATAGTTTGTTTGCTCTTAAATGATGCATCTGTGCAGTGCTTTAAAAAAGGGTGAAATGGCTCTGGAACTCACCATGAAGTTGTTACAGTAAGTGCTACACTTTCAACATTTTGGGGGGGGGGGAGGTGCCGGCACCGAATACCCTTGAGGACCCCCAGGGGAAAACCCACTGCATCTATGTATCCTAGTAGGCTTTGTGTTGGTTTCAACATTCTTCCTGTGAGAAAAGGGAATGAGCCTATTTTATGATGGTGTGTTGACCATCTGATGTTTTTAGAAGCAGTCCTACTAATTTTTTTAAAAACCCCATAAAACTCTCCTGCTCATTTCTTCAAGGGAACTTTTTATTGTTGTTAATTCAATGCTTTTAAGTCTCCTGGATTAATCACTGCAGCCCTAATGCACATTGATCCCTAGCTTGATGTGTTGCTTTTGAGACAGGCATGTCCATTTCCTATGTATCTTTACATTTTCTGAATTTGTACATGACTCAGCACTCTCGGGATGGCCTATATAATGCCTCAAATTCGGCCCCTAGTATCAGTTTTCTACACTCCTTAGAGAGTGCTGATCTTATGCTACTTGATGTACCTGTTAGGACCATTCATATGGTATGTATTTATTATTCATGATTGGTTATGTTTACAGGATTATATTTATATTGTATGTGAATAGAATGGATTTTATTTTACATCATCGCTAGCTGATGAAGAATTACCATTGAAGCAGATTGTCATCTGGGAAAACTGTCTACATTTTTGGATCATCCATTATTGCACGGTTACAGGATTGTGACTATTGAAGGCTTGTTTGCTTCTTTCAGTACCGGTGGACTATATTGTCTAATTTTGTTCATGCAACAGTGCTGTGTTTCTATTACATATTCTCTGTTTAAGAAATGCTACGCTTGGAGCTTCTATTATCGCATGATTACAGGACTGGGACTATTGAAAGGTTTGTTTGCCTCTGTGATATTAATTGACTACCTTCTTTAATTTTGCTCATACAATATTGATTTTGTTAGTATATTATTAGCTACGTGTTGCCTGTTATTGCTTAAGTTTGTCTGTTTTTGCAACACAGGGGATTTCCTTTGTTACATTTCCAACGTTGGCCATAGGGCAAATTCTCTGAGCAGCCAATTGCTTACTGATTCCCCTTTGTCTTCATCTTGCCCAGCTGGAGCTATCACATGCATTGAATGTAAACATGTTGCTGAAGATAACTCTTGCATGGTGCCTGAAACTCAGTGCAGTTCCCCATCGCAGAACATCTGCTTCACTCGTCTCACTACCCAAGGTGAATCCAGAAAACTGTTATTCTTAGAGAGCATAAAGTGCTCATTCTCTTTTTCTTCTCTGCCAATGAATTTTATTGATTTTCATTTTTAAAAAACAAATTAACATTAAATTTAATACATACTTTAAAAAGTTGTCCCCACCCTTCTTCCATGGTGTTGTTAATCCCACCCTTCTATGCTGTATGCCATTAGCTATTCCACCGTAATTTCATTACTGTTATATTTTAGCTTCCATCTGCTGCTCAAAATTTAATCCTGCCCACAATGCCATTTAACACATGATATTTCAAGATGCCCAAATAGGGAGTTTATTTTTCCAAGTCCATGTCATCCCTTGAACTCTTCTTTCCTGTCACCTTTGCCATGTCCACATAGATTTTAAAAATACTTCTTCTTATGTTGTCATTCCTTCTTCTTTCATCCTACGCGTACGCGATGCCTGTATTCATTCTTTATGACACTCTGCTATGCTGGCAGGCAGCCCTTTCCTATATGTTTGCCAGTTGACGGGGCTCCTATGCTTTGCACAGCTCCACAAGAAGCTAAAATTCCCCAGATAATCAGCACCTGCTGTCAAATTCACAGGAGAGCTGTCAGGTCAAGCTTGCCAACCAGGGGCAGCCCATCCTGTCTGAGGCATAATGGGAAAGTACTGTCCCCCGTTACCTCCACTGCCACCCCGTAGTCACCCTGCCAAAGCCTCACTTACCAGGGTTACACAGTGGCATCAGGGATGGGGGGGTCACCCTGCAGGGTTCCCCCTCCCCCAAGGTTGGCTGCTTCAACTTATGGGCCCTGCTGCCAACCCTGCAATACTTTCCAATATTTCCTAGAGGATAACAGATTCTGTTGTACTTACCCCAATTCTCTGAACCAAAAGAGGTTTGGGGTTTTCCCCCCCAAGGACTTCCTGCAGGCAACTGGCTTTGTGCAGTACAATATCATACAATCACACATTTAACCTGTGCAATTTCAACCTTACCCTTGTTGAAGGCTGTCTGGCTGAAATTGTGCAAGTTAAATTCAAGCGAGCGGGAGAGCTTCAAAGCTCCTTTTGTGCTGAGTCCACTTGCGGTTTTACCAGCATCGAACAAGATTTTGAGCTATCCACTTTGCTTGGACAAGGTCTGCTAAGCACACAGGCTCAGAGGTGCCTTTGTGAGATCTCATGGGGCCATCGAGGTTCCTGAGAGATCTCTCACAAGCATCTTAAGTGTTCTGGACCCAGTGTGCTGAGCAGACCTTCCTTCCAAGCAAGGCAAAGATGTTAAAAGCTCTCTTTGTCCTGGCTCCACTTGAATTGCTGAATGCAAAAAGAGTTTTTAAGTTCTCCACCTTACTTGGGGGACAAGGATTGCTTGGTGCACAAGCTCTGGAAATGTGAGGAATGCTTTCTCTGTCCCCTTCACCTGCTAGTCATTGTGCAGTTCCAAGCGTCTGAGTAAACATGGTTTTTGTGACTACTCAGGACCCTTGGAACCGAGTCCCATGTACGATGTGATCATACTTAATTATACAAGTTGGGCACAGATGGAGGCTCACAGCTTTAAGCACTCCAAAAACATGCCCCAGATCTGCCAGAGTTCCTCTTAGCTCCCTAATTTCCAGGTTGCAACTAACCAAGCTGTTTTCTTCCAAAATTCACTCTGAATGAGCACATTCCAGGGTAGTTGGGTGGGCCAAGCCCACTCCTAGAAACTCTATGGGCATTTCCTTAGTCACGTAGAGGCCAGTCACTCTAGGGCAGTGTTCCTCAACCTGTGGGTCCCTAGATATTGTTGGACTACAACTCCCATCATTCCTAGCCAGCATGACCAGTGGTCAGGGATGATGGGAGTTGTAGTCCAACAACATCCAGGGACCCACAGGTTGAGAACCACTGCTCTTGGGGGATCAATGCAAATCACCCCACAAAAGGAAAAGCTGGACTCTTTGACAGGCCATCAAAGCACTCACAAGCAGTCCTAGTGTTTTGGCCAGTGTAGCATACTTAATTTCTACAGTCAAGAGACTGGAAAGGACTTGGTGGTCATCCAGCTCAACCCTTAATCTCATTACAATGGTTTGGTTTGCATGCTCATTAAACAACAGCTCTATAATGACTTGGAGCATACCAAATGAGTAACACACTCATTTGGTTGTTTGGCCCCAACTCCTGCACCCTTTGCACCTCCAATGGGATGCATTTGTATGAATCACAGAACTGAGTTCTTTCAAACGTAGTGATGAAATGACACCCATCTTGGTGTCAGGATAGGTAAGAGTAAACAGGAGCCAGTTTGAAACATGCTTCTACACCCAGGTCAGCTAACTGCATCTTCAGGACCAGCTTCTACTGACACACAAAGAGAGCCAATGGATTCTAAAAGAATTTCGTTGTTATGATGTACTAAACACAACACCAGAATTTGTACAACTCTTGTTCCCTCCTTCAAAAAAAAAACCAAAAACTAAAAATAACTGGTAAAGTGGTGTTCTGCAAATGGGTGAAGTTTCTTAAATGCTAAACATGCTATCCCTTTCCAGATGGTGTCTCGCCAATTGTGGACCGGGGTTGCACTCATCTGTGCCATAGTATAAAGAGACCAAGAGAGAACTATCAAGAAACTATGCGGTGCTGTATGAGAGACCTTTGCAACACTCACAGCTTCTGGACCAACCATTAATACATTATAAAAAGGGAAAAAAAATATTGACCAGGAACAGATTTGTTAAATCAGGTGGATTCTCAGAACTTCTGGCTTTTGAACTGGTCTGTTAATAAAATGCAGCAATTGAGAAACACAATATTCTTACAGGTTTCCCCCCCCTCAGCCAGCTGCGTCATGAAAACCATAGAAACATTTTTCAGTGCCTTGCTACAGTGCAAATTATGGGAGGCTCCCCCACAGATTAAATTATTTGCTACGTGCTGACAAGGATAGGGGAGAAATTTGATTCACACTGCATTTAATGGGGAAACAATGTAACTCACACTTTCTGGAGCAACACATGAATTGTAACACAGCCTTCCTCCATAAAAATCACATTTCTCTGAATTTTGCAAAGCAATTATCCAGCTAAGTAATTTGTACAAACATGCATATAATAAAGTAAAATATGCATTAAAATGCATTAGATAGTGGAGAAAAAAAACCACAAAATGCATTTGATTAGGGAGCAATACTTTGCAAAAAATGTATATACAGTGGTACCTTGGAAGTTGAACGGAATCTGTTCCGGAAGTCCATTCAACTTCTAAAACATTCAAAAACCAAGGCGCAGCTTCCGATTGGTTGCACCAGACGTTTGGGTTTCGAAGAACGTTCACAAACCAGAACACTCAATTCTGGGTTTGCGGCATTCGGGAGCCAAAATGTTCGACTTGCAAGGCGTTCAGGATCCAAGGTACGACTGTATTGGGCAAAATTGCATACAGACATGTGTATATTAGGAGAAATTTCCACACAGACTTAAAAACAACAATCCCTCTCCCCCACAAACTAATGTGGATAACTTTACTTCAGCCTGAAATACAAGAGAAACCAAAACTGACAGATTCACCCATACCTATTTTAGACATTCTTCCATGCAGTTCCTTCGTTTATGGAAGTTGGGAAAATCCAAGGCTGAGGCTGAGGGCTCAGCCAGACTTTTGTTTGCCCCATGCCTAGAAAGCATGGGTCCGAGTGGTTTTCTGCTTGTTCCACACTTTCTAGGTATGGGTCTGAGTGGTTTTGCCCTAGCCTCGTTACTTTCCCTGGAAAATAAGAATGATGATGTCAGGAAGGTGGCCCCCCAGGACCCAGCAGTAGAGTTATCCTCGGAAGAGGAAGAAGAGTTTGGATTTGATATCCCGCTTTATCACTACCCTAAGAAGTCTCAAAGCGGCTAACATTCTCCTTTCCCTTCCTCCCCCACAACAAACACTCTGTGAGGTGAGTGGGGCTGAGAGACTTCAAAGAAGTGTGACTAGACCAAGGTCACCCAGCAGCTGCATGTGGAGGAGCGGAGACGGGAACTCGGTTCACCAGATTATGAGTCTACCGCTCTTAACCATTAGGCTGATTCTACTGAGGAGACAGATGATGATGGTGGTGGTGGTGGTGGTGACAACGATGGTGATGATAATTTATTATTTATATGTCTCCCATCCACTCTGGGCGGCTTCCAACAGATTAAAAACATAAAGCACGGTAAAAGATCAAACATTAAAAACTTCCCTGCTCTTTAGCACAGCTTCATCTGGAGAAAACCTGATTGACATTTGTTCCGATTCAGTATTAAAGATCAGGTTTCCTCAGTGGAATCTATCCAATTCGCACATTCTGAACCAACCTGAAAATGGAAAAAGAACTATTCTACAAAACTTGCAGTTATCTTAATATTGTGATGCAGTCCTCCGACGCTAATGCTGAGAATTCCACTTCCTGAAAGTGAGGGATCAGCACAGACTTCAAAGAGAAACAACCACATATTGGTAAATGTATGATGGCTGTGTTGGCGTCCATAGTTCTGCCTGAGTTTATGCTCATTTTCTGTGTACTCGAATGAAATTCATGTTTTCTGATTAGCTAGTAGGAGGAAAGAGGGGGGTATTATGCATGACTGTAGGGTCCTGCTGCCCTACCCAAGCCTTTCCTATATGAGATGGTTGCCTTGGGGGATTTTTCCTTTTTCAAAAAACACAGAGAGACACGGGTGGGACCTGCTGCACTTAGTGACAGCTGTGATTGGCTAAGCAGAGGGGATGGACAGAAGCATCACGCAGTGCCTTTCAGTCAGTGGAAATGTATGAATGCGAGTGTGGGTGACAGGAGAAAGGCTAGGGCTTTTGGGAAGTCAGAATCTTGGAAAGGCTATACCCCACATTGCACTACAAAGGAGCTTCCTCTGGTTATATGGGCATGGTGACAAGGCACTCACACACAAACATAGTCACCAACAAAGGCAGTGGTATACCGTAGATTGTTGGTGCCTGGGACAGGGCAAATGTTGTTCCCCTTTAGTGGACTGGTCAGTCTGGCGGCACTGGGCTGGCACCAAGGAAATTGCCTCTGCAGCTACCTCATGTGCTGGTGCCCAGTGGAGGAAAGACGTGGTGATGCTGGTGCCACTGGTGCCCTAGGATGGTGTGGCACTCTCCCCCTCGCTCCCCATCCCCAGGGGGTGGGGCACACGCAGGTGTCCCTTCACTGGCCATGAGGAGAAGGAGATGGTGGCACCACCCACCTCTAAGGGCCTGGCCTGGGTGCGGCTTGCGTCCTGCATATCTGGCCTCTCTGCGGGAGCCTGCCATGGGGCGCCTAGTTGTGTCCCCTCAAAATTGTGTGCCAGGGGCCAAGTTGGAAAAGAGGCCTGAGCTTTGACCTAATCCAACCTTAACCAGCTCAGAGAAACTCCTCTGATAAGAGGAGTGAGGAAGAAGGAAGAGTTTGAAGAAGGGGCACCTTTTACAGGAAACCCCTCCCCTGAGCCTATTGGCTAATAAAGACCATGTGACAGGAGCCCGTCCCTCCCTCCTGGGAGGAATTCTTGAAAAGCTGCCTCCTGCATTGGGGTGGAAGAAGAACATCTTCTACAGTAAAGGTTGGGTCAAGATGAGAAATAGCCAAGCAATAGGATTCTTAGTCCTGTTCTGCTGTGTTACAGGTAAGCCACAGAGGATTCATAGAATTGTACAGTTGGAAGGGACACCGAGGCAAGAACAAGGCAAGAACAAAACCCCTTTCTAGGGGAGCTGTCAGGACAAAAGTCTCTGAGAGAAGGATTTGATTTATTAGACCATTCATTCTTGAGAAATAAGTGAAACTATCAGAATTCAAGGTGCAAAAAGAATAGTTGTATTAAAGAGTGATCTGTTGTGTGGCAATTCCCGCCCCCTCCCACAGATGGAGTAAATAAAGACACCAGACACCAGAATTTAGGTTAATGGGCGAAAATGGCCACAACTTTATTGATTACAGGTAAGAGTGGTATTGGCTTTAGGCATTGGCCCTATCAGACTAACCGGTATAACCGGGAAGGGTTAAGCACCAACAGGGGGAGCCCCCGAGATGCACATCCCTAGGTGCTCCCCGAGGGGTTACCGCTCGGGAGCGCGCTTTAGGCCCTAGCCTCCGTAGGTTTCGGATGAGGCGATGCCCCCCGGAGTCCTTTAATGAACTACCCTTCAAGATTTGGGGGAGGTGATGGCGCTCCTCCCCCCCAACTTCATTTGCATAACAATACTCCTGCCAATGCCTACTGCCAAAACCGAGGAGTTGTGACGTTTTGCTACGAGGTAGGCGAAAAAACCAAGTGGCTTTTAAAATACAGCCAATTAGCCAAATGGAAAAACTCCTACCAGGCCCCTTGCGGCGACCAGCCGAAGCCCATAGCAAAGTCCAGATGAGAACCTAAAGGGCGGGAGGGAGGGAAACCGCCGCTGCTGAAAGGAAAAGAAAGGGGCGAGTATGGGCTGCCCCGACCTTAAATGCCCTTTGTTAACCCTGCCCCTACCGCCAGCCAATTGGCTGGCGCTGTGTGTAATGAATAATAATTGGAGTGGGGAATCCGTGAGTCCTGCGGGGCTGGAGCCAGCCCCGCGAGAATGTACACGGGAGCGTGAGCCCGCAACACCCCCCCTCCTTAGGTCGGGAGTGGCTTTGCCATTGATCTAGTTGGATCGTTTGCTTTTCAAACTTTATATGGCCATGGCCTATTCTGACTGTTCTCCTCTCCTCTCTATCTGGTCCAGCTCGAAATTTTAGATGCCTTGAATGTCCAAATGTTTCACATGACAACGAATGTATGGTTCCTGAAAAGCAATGCACCACTGGACCTTGGGAATTTTGCTTTGCTCGTCAACTTAATGGACGTAAGTTCAGGGGGCAATTGTTACTCTTCCAGAGCACAACATAACTTTTATGACTGCTGTCAAGGCAGGAAGCCCATATCTCTAGGATTGTCAGACATCTGGTGACAGGGCTCCTGGGTGTTTGACGGTTGTATCAGATTTTTAAAAATTGCCAGGTAATGTGTGCACATTACTGCATCCGTGTGCCGTGATAAAACACAACTGATATGAGATTGTGAAATGCATTCTTATATTTTATAGGAAATCTGCAAAGGGAATCCTGGCAATCCTACATACTTCCCAACATTTGTCAGATAGATTTCCTTTCTTTGACTTTCATTAAGCATAGACTTCGCATAATCATGCAGAATATGCGGAATTATAGTTTGGGCCGCAATCACACACCCCGTGCATGCCATAAGGTAAAGGTAAGGGGACCCCTGACCATTAGGTCCAGTTGTGACCAACTCTGGGGTTGCGGCGCTCATCTCGCTTTATTGGCCGAGGGAGCCAGTGTTTGTCCGCAGACAGCTTCCGGGTCATGTGGCCAGCATGACAAAGCCGCTTCTGGCGAACCAGAGCAGCGCACGGAAACGGCGTTTACCTTCCCGCCAGAGCGGTACCTATTTATCTACTTGCAGTTTGATGTGCTTTTGAACTGCTGGGTTGGCAGGAGGAGGGACCGAGCAACGGGAGCTCACCCCGTCGCGGGGATTCGAACCGCCGACCTTCTGATCGGCAAGTCCTAGGTTCTGTGGTTTAACCCACAGCGCCACCCGCGTCCCTTGTGCATGCCATAGGTCAAGGCTTTTGTGAGTTGGTGGTAAAATGAAAGCTACCAGATGGAAGACAGAAAGTTACAAACTGAAGTCAGTGAAAAGCATGCAACACACAGTCCCTTCACCAAGAACAGCTGGCTGAATCTGCCATGCCACCTCACTCAGCTAAACCTCTGCTGATGAACAGAAATGGTCAATGAATTCTAAAAAGATTTTTAAGGCTACTTTCCAATAAGCCTGAAATAACCTTTGTTTCCCTTTCTGCTCCCACCCCTTAAGAAATGGGAAGGAATGTATCCTCTGCAAATGGCTGAATTTTCCTAAATGTAAAAATTGTGGTTTCCCCCCCTTTACAGCAGGTTTTGTACATGTGGACCGGGGTTGCACTAACAAGTGCATCAGCTTTGTAAATAAGGGGAAAAAGACATCGCAAACTTCGCTGTGTTGTGTGACCGATCTTTGCAACAATCACAACTTCTGGACTAATCAATAATGAATGACTGTTTCTTGAGAATCGGTTGGTGGAACCAGGTGGACTTTCAGCCCCTCTGGCTTTTGAACAGTTCTGTTAATAAATCGTGCCACACGACAGATAGTCTTCTTGCTATTCTTTGGCATCTGCTGATGGGAGTTGTTGTCCAAAACATTTGGTGGGCATCAGGTTGAGGACAGCTCTTATGACTAATTGGGCCATATACAGTGGTACCTCAGGTTACATACGCTTCAGGTTACATACGCTTCAGCTTACAGACTCCACTAACCCAGAAATAGTGCTTCAGGTTAAGAACTTTGCTTCAGGAGGCCCCATTAGCTACAGTGGTGCTTCAGGTTAAGAACAGTTTCAGGTTAAGTACGGACCTCTGGAACGAATTAAGTACTTAACCTGAGGTACCACTGTAATGGCAACCACTGAAACTTTGTTGACTGTCTCACTACGGAACCGATATTTATTATTTCTTTATATCTTGCCCTTTGTCAAAGGAGCTCTGGGAGGCGAACATGGTTCTCATTTTCTTCTGTGAGGAAGGTTAGACTGAGAGGTAGTAAATGGCCTGTATTAACCTAGCGAGTATCATTACATACCCTCCAACATTTCTTCACTGAAAATAGGGATGTTCTGTTCCATAACGATAATTTTACCATTTATACCCCACACATCTCACTGGGTTGGCCCAGCCACTCTGGGCAGCTTCCAACATATATAAAAACACAATAAAACATGGAACATTTTTGAAAAAAACTTCCCTGTACAGGATTACCTTCAGACAGCTCTGGGGTCAGATAACTTCATAACCTCCAACATTTCTCCATTGAAAAAAGGGACATCCTACGGAAAAGTGGGACATTTCGGGATCCAATCCAAAACTGTGAAGGCTTCTCTAAATCATGGACATCCCTGGAAAATAGAGACACTTGGAGAGTCTGTCATTGCTGAATGGGTATTAAGAACCTAATATTTGGTGGCTTGGTCCAACATTATAAGCACTGTGCTACTCAAGCTGATGTGAGTCCTGGGAGTTGGGAGACCAATATTATTATTATAAGACTTTTATTATTTCTTCCCCAGCCCTTCTGACTGGGTTTCCCCAGCCACTCTGGGTGGCTTCCAGTATATACAGAACATAATAAAAAGGTTAAAAGGTAAAGGACCCCTGGATGGTTAAGTCCAGTCAAAGGCGGCGATGGGGTTGCGGCGCTCATCTCGCTTTCAGGCCGAGGGAGCCGGCGTTTGTCCACAGACAGCTTTCCGGGTCATGTGGCAAGCATGACTAAACCCCTTCTGGAGCAACGTGACACCGTGACGGAAGCCAGACTGCACGGAAACACTGTTTACCTTCCTGCCACAGCCATACCTATTTATCTACTTGCACTGGTGTGCTTTCGAACTGCTAGGTTGGCAGAAGCTGGGACAGAGCAACAGGAGCTCATTCCGTTAAGGGGATTCGAACCACCGACCTTCCTATCAGCAAGCCCAGGAGGCTCAGAGGTTTGGACCACAGCACCACCTGCGTCCCTATAATAAAACATCAAACATACATATTCCCCTCACTCAGCTAAAATTCCCAGAGTTTCCTTGGAGAGGGATGGATTGTTAAACCACTCTGGGAAGCGAAGCCCTGTGAGGGGTATACTAACTCTTAAGTGCCTTTAAGAAATGACCATCCCAATTGTTCTTCTAGGAAAGTCCTGAGCCTGATTCAGCGACAGCAAATGCTTGATTGCCGCAGTGTGTACCAAAAGCTAATCTAATACCTCTGCAGGTGTAAGGGCATTGGGTATCCAAATGTGTGCTTGCTGTGTGGATGAACACTTTTTTTAATACCTATTTTTATCGCTTCGCATAGCAGTGGTGGGTGTCAAAAGAGACTATGATAGCTGAAATTCCCACTTTTTTACATTATGGGTTGAAGGCCAATGCAGGGCAAATGGCCTCGCCTACATCATTCTTCCCCGTCCACACAACACACCTGCCAAAAGCACCAGTGTCTACCTGTTCTTCGTTCCCTTCATCGACTGTGCATGCAAAATGAAATCTGTCCAGACTGGGGGTTTTTTGGGTTGTTGTTGTTGTTGTTTTACAGAATCCTTTATAGGAAGCTCTTTATTTCCCCTTACCTGCTTATATTTGACTTTGAGACCCTCTGCTTCTCTCCTCGTGGTCTCTTGGAAGAAGTAACGGAAGATGAGCAGAGTTCTGGCAATAGGTTTCATAGCTCTGCTGTACTTTGATACAGGTCAGTCCCTGGGGCAAGAGTAAGGAAGGGCCCATAGTTCTGTGGTAGAGCATCTGCTTGGCATGCAGAAGGTCTCAGGGTCAATTCCTGGCATTTCCAGGTATGGCTGGGAGACACCCTACCCTGAATTTCTCGAAAACTGTTGTCAATCAGTATTGTCAGTACTGAGCTAGTTAGACTTGTTACAATGCAGGTGTGAATGTGTTTTCATGGTAGCTCGGGTTAAGAACTTAATTCGTTCTGGAGGTCTGTTCTTAACCTGAAACTGTTCTTAACCTGAAGCACCACTTTAGCTAATGGGGCCTCCCGCTGCCACCGCACCGCCGGAGCACGATTTCTGTTCTCATCCTGATGCAAAGTTCTTAACCCGTGGTACTATTTCTGGGTTAGCAGAGTCTGTAACCTGAAGCATCTGTAACCTGAGGTACCACTGTAATAGCAAAACATTTTAGAAGGGATTATTAGGTTGGAATTCACTTAGTTAATTTTGATCACTCTGTCATCCAGACTGGAAAACAGCAGAAGAGAAAGCTGTGAATAGAAACAAGTGTGATGAGCTGCGTTGTTAAATTAAAGGTGAAAAATTAATAGCTTTATTAGATATGGAGTGATTTCTTTTGAGGAAAGGTCACTATTACTTGCACTCACACATGTGGATTTTTCAACACAGCCCTCCAACCAAATAATATGTACAAAAATGCATACATTACTGGAAAGCTTTGCTATAAATGCATATGTTGTTGTTGTTGTTCATTCCATTTATATACTTCCCTCTATCAGAAGATTCCAGGCCAATGTACAACATTTAAAACACATTACAGAACATCAGTGATTAAAAACATAATACAAAACATACTGACAGACAGCCCAGTAATAAAATAGTCATCATAATAACAGTTCCCTCCCCGACACTTTCACAGGCCATAGATTATTTGATAGCCACAAAGAGGGTAAGGATTTGCTGAACCAACAAACAGAACTGGAATACAAAAAAGGGAGGTGTGAGGAGGTCCGGGAAACAAGCTAATGAAAAATAAGTAATGGAAAGATTGAGTTGTTTTTAACCATTTTTATTTTGTATTTTCTTCTTTTTTTACTTTTATTTTGTAATATTTTGAAAATCTTAATAAATATCTTATAAAAAAAATAGATTATTTGATAGCCATAGGCCTGGGTAGAGACAATGACAAAAATGCATTATATTAGAGAAAATTGAGGGCAAGTGTGTATATTAAGAGGAATTCACACTAAAACACTTCTGCCTTGTAATGACTAAAAAATAAATAAATCTCAATCTGTTGGGGAAATGTAGGGTTGCCATATTATATTTCAAAAATCCTGAAACAAAAGTTGATGTTGGCTCTGTCCAGGAAATTTTGGATGTATGGTGACCCGTTCCTGCCTAGCTGTCCGATTTTGAAAGGAGCTACATTCTGTTGATTCTCTCCCCCCCCCCCGCCCCATATCTGTGGGTTGGAACCATTTCTTTAGAAGGGAATGCCTTCTACCTTGAGAATTAGGGAAGCTTTTAATATTTGATGAATCATTGTATTTTAACATTCTGCTGGAAGCCGAATATTGTATTATTATAATTATACTGGGCATAATATTTCACCAGCTGCACCCCATTGTAGTGTTTCAGTGAGGAGGGTCATGTGTCCCACTTTACAGAAGAGGGTTCTTTATCTGAAGAGCAGTCTCTACATCCAGAGCTGTCCAGACTCTATCCAGTTTAAGGATTGTGGAGCATAATAAGGGAGAGACTGGGACTTGAAGCTGACCAGCAACAGTTAGCACCTAGAAATAAAACCAAGCAGACACAAAGACCACCTGGTCAGTTTTCACCACTGTGGTGAGATTGATTGGACTGATGCTTTTAAACATTTACAGAGCAGCTTTCATACAAAATAACAAGATGACTTACAAGATAAGACCAATGCAGTAAAATACTAAAGGAAAAGAAAGATAACCAAATACCACAGATACCCAGAAGTTCCAGTAGAGCTGGAGATCTTTTTTATTTTGATCTCCATATGGGATAGCTGTACATTCCTGCATCACAGGGAGTTGGATTAGATTATTATCAGGTCCCTTCCAGCTCTAGATTGATTCCATGAAATTGCAGTAAGTATCACTAAAACTGCATCATGATACAGAGAGAGGGAGGAGAGAGAGTTTGTGTTTTGCTTTTGCACTATTTTTGGTCTATTTATTTACATACTGCTTGATTGAAAGAAAGAAAAACCATCAAAGTAAGTTACAAAAACATATTCCCATTAGTTAGGGTTGCCATATTTCTAGAAGTAAGATTCACAAAAGTTATTGAGCTTTTTTTTTGGGAGGGGAGGGGGATGAAACTCAAAACTCAAAGACGCTACATTACCCCAGCTACCACAAACAATGAGTAGACTTGATGGGAGTTGTAGGCCAACGCATCTGGAGGGTACCTGGTTTAGTGAATCTATGATTTGCTGCCCTTCTAAGTTCCCTAACACAAATGGCATCTCTGACTGCTTCCCCTACACACACAGCTTAACAAGTGCATATACATAACATTAACAAAGCATTGCAAAAGCAATCTTGACATGATTGTACCTGTGATTCCTTTTGAGCATGTCCTGTACTGATGCACTCATTTAATCAGGTACATCTCTTGCAATTAAGATAAACAGCAGAAAGGGGGAAAGCAGAGAGGAGCCACCATCCATGAAATTCAAACACAAAGCTCATGTTGAGATTTTAATATTTGCACGCTCTTCTCCAACCTGAGGATTATTATGGGGAGTAGGGTGCATTTTCTTAGCATGGCTCCAGGTAAGTAGGGCCTTGAGGGCAAAGGAAAGGCTACTGCACCCCAGAGGAAGCATGCACAGCCAACCCCTCCTACTCTGGCCCTGCTACAAATCTGAGCAACCCTTACAAATTTGAGCAATTTTATTGGCAAAAAACTTTGCAAATGTCCGTGAGCCTCTAGATGTTCTACACCCTCACTGCCAACTTGCTTCTAATAAACTCACCAGGACCCAGGTGCAATGTTAGAATCACCCACTCTGTTCTTACCATCACCCAGTGTAGGAAGCTTGCAATTTTTCTCCTTCTCTCCTTTTATTTAACTTGGCTTCTCTCCCTCCTTTGGCTTGAAAGAAGGAAACTAAGGATGAGCAAAGTTCTGATAATAGGCTTCCTAGCCCTTCTCTACCTTGATTCAGGTAAGTCCAGGGTTTTTCTTCAGCTAGAACTCTCCAGAACTCAGTTCTGACACCTCTCAGGTGGGCGCCATTGCCATTCTAAGAGAATGAGGGAGGTGTTCATCATGAATTCGGGCACCTCTGTTTCTAGAAAAATAGCACTGGGTAAGTCTCAGAGTCAAGAACAAAACATTACAGAGTAGAACTACAAAGCAGATGCTCTACCACTTGGCTACAGCCCTTCCTTCAAAAGGAAGAGGGCCTTCTTGGTAGTGGCACTGGCCTTCCCAAAGAAGTTAATCAAGCACCATCTTCGGGATACCATCTTTGTGGCTCCCCGGGCTTTTAAAATAGCATGCTTTACAGTCTGGGTCTCACAGTTTTAATTAAGTTTTTTTTTACACTGTGTTTTAATTGTGTTTTGATTTTAAAAACAAGTTTCTTAAAGTTCCCTATTGTTATATACTGAATTGTAAAGAGTTTGTTCTGGCACTTGCTTGCTCTATCGGCTTTGTGAACTGCCAAAGGAAGTCCTATAATGGGGCAACTATATGAGCAGTAATAAAAAAAACCGAGACTCTAGGTAAGAATCTGAATGGAGCAAGAGGTTCAAACGGGCACCACTCCACTTCTCAGATGTGTCCTTCATCCCTGTCCCAACCACTGAGGTTACCTTTTCATGGTTTCATCCACCATTGCATGTCTTGCTATTCAAAGAGGGTTTAGCTATATACCATTCACTTCCTGGGAGCCACTCTCTAACCAGTCATTTGCTTAACATTTTCTTCTCCTCTTTTCATTCTCCCTGCCAAGCTGAAGCCCTCTGGTGCCTCTACTGTCCGAATGTTGAGTATGATAATACTTGTTCGACCATCCAAGAAATTTGCGATGCAGGAAATGACAGATACTGCTTCACACGAATGACTATTCAACGTGAGTCCAGTAGAAACAGTTTAATGCTTGAGAGTGGCAGAGGGATGATTTGTTCCTTTGCTTGTTTAGACTAAATCCCGCTTTCCAGTCCCAAGAGGCTATCGAAGAGGCTAAGAGCCCCTCCTGACATCCTTTTCACAGTGCATTCATGGTAATTTGTGCTTATGAAGCTCTTGTAACCTCCTACTCTTAATGTTTTATGCTTCAAATGTTCTGCGGGCTTTTATGTCTCACTTTTGCTGCAATGTAGCCCCTCCAAACTGCAGTAATGTGGGAGCCCTGGGGAAGTCACACAGAACAACTAAAGAAACAGTATGATGTGTGAATTGTCCAGTATATAAGGTTGCCACCCATCCCTTAAAATATGGAATCGTCCCTTTTTTTCAAAGTAAATTGCTGTGTCCCATATTGATTTAATATGAGATGCAATTTTTTCCCCTGCATTTGAAGTTATCATCCCCTCCCTTCCACCTCCCTCTTCCTTCACTGGTCCTTTAAGGTACTTCATTCCCCACCACCCCCACCACCTTTTTGTCCCAGCTGCAGAGCCATGGGCAGGCAGAGCTTGTGCGGGCAAATGGTGGGTTGGGGGGCGGGAAGGAGAGCAAGAGTTTGTGCTGACAGAAGTGGGAGAGTGAGAGCAAGAGCCGCTGGCATGTCAGGTGGGGCAGCAAGGAAGGGCAGCTGGCCGAAGAGCAAGATCTGAAAAACAAGAAATCACAGACACAGCATTCAGAGCTTAGTGGAGCAGCTAAAAGGTGAGGGCCCTTGCCCACAAAACTCCTTTCTTGTGCAGTAAACAGTGGTGCTGACTTGGCTCAAATTCTTTCTCCCTGATTGCTTTGTATGTAGAAGGCCCCCACCCTCCAATTATGATTACAGTGGTACCTCAAAAGTAGAGCAGAATCCATTCTGGAAGTCCATTCGACTTCCAAAACGTTCAGGAACCAAACAGGGGTGGAGGAAGGGGGCGTTGGGGGCAGTCTGCCCCGGGTGTCATCACTGAGGGGGATGACATTTGGTGTGCTGCCCGCACGCGACTCCCAAGCCTATCCCGAGCCACCAGGGGGAGAGGTGGAGCTGCACCGCCTTGCCAGCAGCCTTCCCCCCTTCCCCCTTTGTTCTGACAGCTTGGGGGAGGCTTGGGAGTCGTGGGTGGGCGGTGCGCCATTGCCCCCTGCTCCCGGGCTGCTTCTGGGGGGCGGAGAGCCTCCCCAGAGCTGTCAAAAGGAAGAGGGAAGGGAGGAAGGCTGCTGGCAAAGTGGCTTCCTACCCCCGCCCAGGAAGCAGCCTGCCATGGGCGGCTCGCCCCCGGGACGCTCACCCTGCCCCCATGGGTCCATCCTCGGGTGCACAGCATGTGCGCTGCTCCAGGTGCCGGAGCGGCTAGCTCCACCTCTGGAACCAATGTGGAGCTTCTGAGTGGCTGCAGGCGCTTCCTGCAGCCAATCGGAAGCCATGGAAGCGGCATTGGACACTCAGGTTCCAAAGAACGTTCGCAAACCGGAACACTCACTTCCGGGTTTGCGGTGTTCAGGAGCCAAAACGTTCGACTCGCAAGATGTTCATCAACCAAGGTACAGCTGTACTTCCCTTCTTGCCTTGCCTGGCCACTCCTCGCTATTTAAGTGTAACTCAAAGGAGTGCATCTCCCTCCTTTTTTCTTTCCTGCAAGCTGCACTTAACATGGCTCACACACCATGCAGCCTTCTTCTGACTTCCCCACTGGTGAGGGGAAGGTGATCAGGCATTCCTGCACCCATCTCCCTGCCACCTCCCTCTCCCTTCTAACTTCCAGTAAGCAACAGTGCCAGAACCATCAAAGGTCAAGTGTGTGATGGTGCCTTGCCATACTGTCTTCTCCTGTTCGTCCATCTCTCTTGGTGGAAGCTACAGTAGGTGCTGTCACACACTTGACACGCAGGTGTAATAAATACTAGGCAAGCAACCATATTCCGGCCACCGCCAGAGCAATTTTAAATTATTTTTTTTGAAACTGGGCCACCTATTAGAGCAGACTTGGGGAATCTTTCTCAGCCTATTTGGGAAAACTTCTGGGAGCCATGCGCCAGTGGTGGGTGGAGCAATGCACATACATTTCCCTTTGCACATCAGACTTCTTTCTACATCTATGATCAAACGTCTCTCTCTCTCTCTCTCTCTCTCTCTCTCTCTCTTCTCCATTCAAGCAAGAAGGAATTATTATCAGGCTTCAATGATACATTTGCAGCGAGGTGAAAACATTCACTCAAGGAGAATGCAAAGCAAGGGCAGAGGGAGGTGTGGCCTGAAGAAAGAGGGTGCGGCTACAAAGGGATTGTGGCCTGTGCAGGGTCCCAAGGGCCAGAGAGAGGGAGAGAGTTTAGGAGGGCTACATTTGGCCCCTGAGCCTGAGGTTACCCACCTCTGTATTGGAGACTACAAGGCCACTGAAATATCTGATGGGTGACAAACAGATGCTTTTTGGGAGGCAGGAGAACTTATTGAAGTAGGAAAATCAGCTGTGTGGGATGAAATGGTGATGTCCAACCCTCTTAATGTGAGCTGGGTGTGTGGATAATATGCTTGGCACCATCTGGTGCTTTTTCTCAATATTACTTCAGGGATGGAGCAGACATACATGGCACATCAGCTTCTAAATTGCTAGTAGGGATGGGGAGAGGGGAGCTGGATCTACACTCACCTTTTAAACGTTATTAGAATGATATTAGAAATATCATTCTAAAATGTCAAAACAGGAAATGTTCTCTTGTGCTTCCTCCCTGCTGTCTCCCTTGTTCCTGGTTCCTGGTTCCAAGTCGCTCTGCAGACACCGTTAAAGAGCAGAATGTCATATGGCTATATGGTTATCAGAACTATTCCTTAACTCATTCTTAGCGTTAAAAACCGTGAGTGTAAATCTGCCCAGGGTCCATGATGCATTTTTCTCTGTCACATCACTCCACAGATGGCAAAGTTACAAGTGTGGACCGAGGCTGCAACAGCGACTGTCATACCTTCAAGATCATGAAAAACAACTATGAAGAACATATGTTGTGCTGTGGATACGAATTGTGCAACGATCTGGATCTCTGGAACGTATGATGAAGAAGAGCTGTTGTGATGTGTGGAAGACTTTTGCAATTTTCATAATCTTTGGACAAATAAATAAATAAATGTGTGCATTCCTAGCTATTGAGGGTGAGTCTGTGAAATCGAGAGGTTTCTAAAGTTTCTGGCTTTTGACTACTTGCATGAAATACGTTGCTGTGAGTAGTGAACCGACAATGTTCTTGTCTCTTCTAGTAAAGCCATAAAGTCATGGGACGAGTGGATGTGCGCATGAGCCCATCATGTCAGGACCCATCTCAACTCATGTGGAAAGATAAAAGACAAATATAGGGACACTTTCCTGGAAGAATATTTGCATACTGCATTGGAATGTCCCCCATCTCTCTATGTGCCCTCCTACATTGACATCATATAGTCATCTAGAGATCTTTTCTTGGAACCTGTCACAGCCCCTTAGAATCAGATGGGCTAATAAAAGGCCTACCATGAGTGGATATTTCTGGCCTGTCCACCACCACCACCCACACAGCACAAGCCGTTCCATTGGCTTTAACAGAATGCTTTCATCAAGCCTAAATTCAGGTCTGGCAAATGGCAGAGAAGGATTCGGCAGGTCTCTGTGCTTACCACAGTGGGCACTTCACTGACAACTCCTACCCTAGTAAATGTTATTGGGTATGATATGCATTTTCAAGCACCTTTTACTGAATTGTTAGATGAATATAAATCGATAGACCTTTGCTTTCAAATCCTTTTGAACATACCAGGGACTACCCGTCGCACCCCAGGTCTGGTCCTGGATCAATTTGGGGGATGGGGCAAATATTTAATTTGGGTTTCTGGTTTTTTTAAACACCCTAACTATACTTATGGATGGGAGGGACAGAGGAAGGAGACGTGAAAACAGGTGGTAAAATTCTGCTAGGTGCTCCCTTGCAAGCCACATCCCTGTGCACTAAACCCTACAACACACATTCCTCTGTCTTGAAAATATGAAACCTGGAGAGTTGGAGAAGGCAGCAGCAGGCTTGGATGGCAGCAGGCTAGCCCCTAGATATTTTGCACTAGGCCCCAGATCTCCTGTTGCATCCCACACTTTCATAACCGGCAAGTGTCCCATTTTAAGCGAGACATCCCGGATCACAGAAGCCAATCTCCACTTCTGTTTGGATCCTGGAATGTCCTATTTTTTTTTGTCTGGCAATCTGGTGTGAGTCATCGTGCCAGAGAGCCAGACCGAAAGACACTCACTTTGAAGCAAATCAGGAGGATTGTGCCAAAACACCTTCTGGTCTAGCGCTTTGGCGATTGTCAGCATTATCGTACCAGAATGCCTACCTTCCAGCCACTGGAGCCAACTCCAGGGGGCCGTGGGTGCTTAGGCACCCACAATAATATATTTATGGGGCTGGGCCCCCACAAAGTCAATGGGCAGTTGAAGCCCTTCGTTGTGAGCAGCCGCAATATTCGGTGCAAAATGGCACCTATTTTTCCAGCACTCTGGGGTGATCCTGTCGATGATAGCCAAAGCATCATGCCCTTCCCGACACTCCAGTTTTAGGTTGGAAGACATGCCCTTTTTAATGGCATGCTTTAAATTGTCCTTGGATTGTCCTGGGTCAGATCAGGGACTCCAAAAACACTGGATCAGGCCCTCAAATCAGATCATGGACTCCATGCACAGCCTTAGTATCTATCAGTATAAATTTGTGATAAAATAGAGGTGGTTTTCCATGAGGATTTTTTTTTAATAGTAACAGTCCACAAATTTCTGAAGAAATGTGTACAACTGAATTAATAATGGGAAGAATGAGAAATGCAGAGAATCCAAAATCCATATATATGCCCATCCCTACTTGCAATGCACCTTGCACAAAGGCAGAGTTTTATGGACTGCCCCAGGAATGACACCTTACATAGTATTCTTCTGCATGTACATTGAAGATCTAAGGCACACAAATGAATCCCAAGCTGTTCTATGTCCTCACTGCCAATAAGGTTCAAAGAATAAACTCATTGGCCCTCAGGCAGTAAATTAAATCCACCCAAAGTGTTCTTCTTCTGATCATGCAAGGTAGGAAGGTTGCGACTTCATAACACCTGTGCTTCTATTTGACTTTGAGTCACCCTTTGCATCTCACTCCCCATTTCTTGGAAAAACGGACTAAAGATGAACAAGGTTCTTGCAGTAGGTTTTTTAGCCCTGGTCTACATTGACATGGGTAAGTTCTAGAACATATGGTGGGCATTGTTAGTATGAAAGACATTGGAAATGCTTAGTTAACTTTTTGACTAACCAGTCCAAAGGGCAGTCTCAGAAAAGAAAGGTGTCAGTAGGAATGAATGAAATTAGCAGTGTTGTTAAATTAATGAGGAAGGATTGTTATTGAGATGGGATTTACATTTGGTGCCATTCACTATCAAGTATATGAAATAGATACAATTGAACTTGCTCCTGACACCAACTATACAGCAAAAGGATTGCTTGAAATGTGAATTTTGAGTGAATGGATGAAATTAGCTGTACAAAACAATATTTTCAAAAGGCTGCTAAGGACTTGCCGATCGTCAGGTCGGCGGTTCGAATCCCCGCGGCGGGGTGTGCTCCCGTTGCTCGGTCCCAGCGCCTGCCAACCTAGCAGTTCGAAAGCACCCCCGGGTGCAAGTAGATAAATAGGGACCGCTTACTAGTGGGAAGGTAAACGGCGTTCCGTGTGCTGCGCTGGCTCGCCAGATGCAGCTTGTCACGCTGGCCACGTGACCCGGAAGTGTCTTTGGACAGCGCTGGCCCCTGGCCTCTTAAGCGAGATGGGCGCGCAACCCTAGAGTCTGGCAAGACTGGCCCGTACGGGCAGGGGTACCTTTACCTTTAATGTCAGACTTCCCCACAGAAGCTGGTCAAAATGCACAGTGACTCTGTGAATGGGGAGATATCGACACTGGCTACCCTTCCTGATCCAGGTTTTGGATGAGTCCACCAATCTTTCATGCAGTTGCCAAGAAAGTTGGAAGGGGCAGCTTGTTCCCAAATGCTTCCCACTTCTTATTCAAACCAGTTCAGAGATGGACAGGTCAATCCACACACACCCTTAGGCCAGGCTGTGATGGGTTATTGTTTAGCTTTTTTGGAATGAGCAGAGGCGTCCTTTCACCCAGCTCTTGCAAACCTGTAAGTTTCTGAACATGCTGGTGAACAGAAGGGCTGACAGCAGCATCCACACCATCAGCAACAAATTTAAAGCCCTAAAATGAGGCGTTCTGATAGTAAGGAGGGGCTAAGACAGTTCAGGACCTGTTGAATCCCAAGTTGAATCTGTATTGTGCTGCCACAGGATCCCTTCCTCATCCAGTAACTGCACTCGCTCCAGACTGGCACCATGAATGGCAGGGCTATGGGTGTGGCAATGGACCTGCTGCTCTATACAGTCCTGCAGGTGGGAGGATGTTTAGATTGCGGTCAAAGACCTTTATTCAGCCAATGTAGCTGCGCAGAGGGCTTACTCCTTCTTAGGATCTTCCTTCGACATGAGGTCCTTAGCCCAAGTCTTGTCTCTGCAGTCAATTTGAACAAAAGCTGGTCTGGCTTACCAATATATCAGGGGTTAGTGAGCAAACACAGAACACACCCTCTTGTTCATAATTCTAGAATTTATGTGTACCGAGTATAACAATCATATTCATTAGAGATTTATTTATTTTTATAAAATATTTATTAGGATTTTACAATAAACATAGGTTTAAAAAAATTAAGAAAATTAAACCAAAGATTACACATAAACAGAAGAAGAAAAAAGATAACAAGAATAATACCAATAAAACAAGAACCTAAGATAATAGCAAAAAAACAAGGACCTAAGAGAGAAAAAGGAAAATACAAAATACAAAAAACAGATGGCTAAAAAAGAAAAAGGGGGGGGGAATTAAAAAAGAAAAAATCCATTTTTCAATATCTTTAGGCTCATTTACTTATTTCCTTGACCTCCCCACACCTCCCCTTTTTGTATTCCCGTTTACAAAATCCTTTCAGCAAATCCTTACCCTCTTTCATTTATCTTTACTCTATATCTTATCCTATTATAACTATATATTTTCATCCATATAACAATCTATATTTGCATATTCTTATTAATCTTATTACCCAAACCACTTATTTCCATTCCAACATCATTTTAACATTCATTAATTTTACAGTATTTCTGCAAATAGTCTTTAAATTTCTTCCAATCTTCTTCCACCAACTCTTCTCCCTGGTCACGGATTCTGCCAGTCATTTCCGCCAATTCCATATAGTCCATCACCTTCATCTGCCACTCTTCCAGGGTGGGTAAATCTTGTGTCTTCCAATACTTTGCAATAAGTATTCTTGCTGCTGTTGTTGCATACATAAAGAAAGTTCTATCCTTCTTTGGCACCAATTGGCCGACTATGCCCAGGAGAAAGGCCCCTGGTTTCTTCAAGAAAGTGTATTTAAATACCTTTTTTAATTCATTATAAATCATCTCCCAGAAAGCCTTAATCCTTGGGCACGTCCACCAAAGGTACCGAGTATAACAATCATATTCATTAGAGATTTAATTATTTAATTACTGTATGTGCTTGAATAATGGGTGATGATAATTTTGCTTTGAACAGGTAACGGGGGCCTCTGGAAACCTTGACTGCTCCCTACAGCAGAATGTTTAATAATAAAAAAATTCTATTGTATTTGAATCAACAAAAAGATTTCGTTCTCATTCCTCCAACAGACAACTAAGTAAAGAAGAATTACCATATTTTTCATTCTATAAGACGCACCAGACCACAGACGCACCTAGGTTTTGGAGGAGGAAAACATGAAAAAAAATATTCTGAATCTCAGAAGCCAGAACAGCAAGAGGGATCCCTCTTGCTGTTCTGGCTTCTGTGATAGTTGCGCAGCCTGCATTCGCTCCATAAGACACTCCATAGGAGGGGGAAAGTGAGTCTTATAGAGCAAAAAATATGGTACACAGTGGAATAGTATTACTTTGGATATTCTTTTGTATCTGTTAATGTGAAAAATTGCAGAAAAGGGGATGGCAAACTTCTTTTGGGGTCCAATAGAAATGGGCACAAAATATTTGTTAATAATACTCCTACTGGAATCAAGATTTTGTCCCCAGTTACAAATTAATGGTTCTTTTTGGATTGCTTTTTAGCTGGTTCATATTGTATCACAGTGTGGTATGCTGGCTTGACAGCCATGGACAGAAAGTCTCTGCAGAGGGTGGTGAATACAGCACATGATATCATGGGCTGTCTCTTGAGTCCGCTAGATGACATCGCAAGGGATTGTTGCCTTAGGAGAGCGAGAAAAATTCTTGGGGATGATTCACACCTCGGCCAGCACCTCTTTAATCTTCTACCCTCAGGCAGGAGATATAGAAATATAATCAGTCATACCAACAGGCTAAAAAATAGCTTCTATCCATGGGCTGTTAGGCTGTTGAACAGAAAATAACATAGTGCAACTGATTTGCGAGGTGATGTGTTGTGCAATGAGCACACAGAGTGCAATGAGATTGAATGTTTGGGGGGGAGGGAGACTTGGTTAATTTCATTGTACACAGGTTGTACATTGACAATAAAGGTATTATATTATTATTATTATTCTTTAGGAGAAAGAAACATACAGTATGTAGACCCAGGGAGTTGCAACTCGGTGAAACACTTTTATTGCACACATCAAAATTGCAGTCCCTAACACACATGCACAGATTCTCAATCATACTCACAAACTCTGCACCAATAGCTAATCAGGCTATGGCAAGAGGACGGGTGGCAGCCATTGCAGCACTGGGAACTTGGTACACTTTTCCACTGGAAAGTCCCTTCTTTATATACTTTCTACCAGACATTCCCGCTCTAGTGATTCACTGCAATGTGTTCCTTGCCAAAGTTGTTTACCACATAGTTCATCACAACCTCATTACTCAATCTGGTTCAACACCTGTCCTTGTATCTCTCTTTGTATGTCAAGTCTCATGAGCTTAGCACTTCTTCCTCCCTTTGCTTGCCAACCTTATCAGTTCCACAAGTCTTAGCGAGACTCCATTTTAAAGTGGTGTTCTTCATCCTAAAAATAGGCCTACACTCATTCCTCCATTCATACCACAAATCTCTAATGAATATGATTGTTATACTCATTACATAGGTCATTCACACCTCCATCCTTTGTTTCCATCCCCCCCCCCCAAAAAAATGGTGGTGCCTGTTTGTCTTGGGACCAATCTCAATTTATCCATTGCTTAATATTCTTCCTTTCTCTTCTTCTTAGCTGTTGGAAGTTTTGTGTGTCATTACTGTCGGAAGGTTAAAACCGATAACACATGTGTCCATGCTGCAAAAACTTGCAGGGCTGGGCATTATAAATTCTGCTACACTCAGCTGATTGCTAAAGGTGAGTACCCTAATAGGAATGATTAGAGATGCTGTCTTTGCCTTTGTAAAGATGGAGGAATCTGTACCTTTTGATTCTCTCAGTTTTTCCAATCTTAACATAATGAAACATTAAGCATTTTTAAAAACTTCCCTATACAGGGCTTCCTTCAGATGTCTTCTAAAGGTTATATAGTTACTTATCTCCTTGGCTCAGAGGTCACATAACTCCATACCCTCCAACATTTATGCAATGAAAATAGAGACATCCTAAAGAAAAGCGGGACGCGGGTTAAACCACAGAGCCTAGGATTTGCAAATCAGAAGGTCGGTGGTTCGAATCCCCGCAACCGGGTTGAGCTCCCGTTGCTCGGTCCCTGCTCCTGCCAACCTAGCAGTTCGAAAGTACGTCGAAGTGCAAGTAGATAAATAGGTACCATTCCGGCGGGAAGGTAAACGGCGTTTCTGTGCGCTGCTCGGTTTGCCAGAAGTGGCTTAGTCATGCTGGCCACATGACCCGGAAGCTGTACACCGGCTCCCTCGGCCAATAAAGTGAGATGAGTGCCATAACCCCAGAGTCGGCCACGACTGGACCTAATGGTCAGGGGTCCCTTTACCTTTAAAGAAAAGTGGGACATTCCAGGATAAAATCAGAAACCAGGATGGCTTCTGTAAATTCAAGACTGCCCTTGGAAAATAAGGGACTTGTAGATATAACCCAACATAAATAAAAACATTGGTTTAAATCAGGCATAGGCAAACTCAGTCCTCCAGATGTTTTTTGGGACTACAACTCCCATGATCCCTAGCTAACAGGACCAGTGGTCAGAGAGATGATGGGAATTGTAGTCCCAAAATATCTGGAGGGCCGAGTTTGCCTATGCCTGGTTTAAATCAAATATGCACAATAGGATTAGATGCCTGGGTTTGTTTTGCCTTTAAAAAATGGTCTGTAACAGGCACTGAAGACAATACAGTAAATGTTTCGCTCCTGTTAGTAACCATGCTGCAGCCATAGTAGATAACCATGATGCCTTTTTCTCCTTCTTTCCCAGGGCTTTCTGTTGTCAATGTGGATCGGGGCTGTACTATGAAGTGTGAAACCGTCAGGTACAGGAAAACCGGACTGGAAAAATATATGCTTTGCTGTAACACAGACCGTTGCAACAGCCACGACATCTGGGTCAAGGAATAATAAAGGAATAAAGGAATAATAAAACTTTGTTGAAGATGGATTAGTCAGGTCAACTGGATGTCTACTACTGTCAAGCAGGGATCCTCATACCCACCCCGTGGCCTCAACCTGTGGCCCCCAGATTAGGGCAAGTTGCCCTGTGCTGCCCCAGAGTCCATCCTCCTTGGCCCAGATCCATCTCCAAAACAAGCAGAACTAAGGGCTTTAAAAACTTGGCAAGTGCACAGCATTGTGCAGAATCAGATCCTGGAGGACCTAATCCTACGTGCTTCTGGCCAGTGCTTCTTCATGAACAGTTTCCATGCATGCAAGACAAACAAATTGCAAAGGGCAGGAATATCCTACTTCCCTTATGTCCAGGCTTTGCATTCTGCCTGCTTTTGCTTCATACCTGATGTCCTCCGCCTGCCACATCTCATTTGTGGCCAGTCCATTCTGTTTCATCTGTAGGCCCAAAGCCCTCAGAATATGCCTGATTTGGCTTGTGCCTCTGCCAAATTCAGTGCAGAGCCCTAAGGCCCACAGACTCTGGCTTTCCTTCCCTTTTTTAAATTAAAAAAACCGCTCTGTTGCCAACTTGCTGCAAGCAACAAACCTATTTTTGCTGCAGTTCCATATTCTCCAACATTCATAGGCGGAAAATAGGGACATTTCTCACTCCCCCACAACTGACCCTCCTTGACGCCCCCGCTGAGCATTTATTATCATAAGAAGGGCACAAAGCACACATCCCCTCCACTGTCCTGAGAAAATCCCTTAATCTCAATTTTATTTTATTTTATTTATTAGATTTCCAAAATAAAGGGAGGGGGACACACACCAATAAATAAATTTTAGAATGGGGCAAGATTAGATGTGGAAGCACAAAGCATTAAAAAAAGAAAAGAAATACTCCTTGCACTCCACTCTGCTCCCTCTTTCGTCCCACCCAGGGTGGCCCTGCCTTCTGCCAGCCAGTGTAGAGCCAGTGTATCACATAGGGCTGGATCTCAGTGGCCACAGCCTCTCCTCATCCATGCCCACTCTCCAGCAGCTACTATGGGCTGGCCAAGGAAGGAGGTTGGCAGCGGCAGCCATGCAGAGGCAATGGTATGCTCCCTCGTAGCCAGAGCTGCCATACTGCCATCGCTCAGGACAATCACTGGCTCATTCTCCTCAAGCTCAGCAGCACTGGTGGGGAAAATAGGGACATTCCATGATCAAATCAGAACCAAGGGTGGCTTTTGTAATTCTGGGACTGTCCCTGGAAAATTGGGACACTTGGATGGTATGCAGTGCTAGTAATTATGCTGATATGGCACTGTGTCATAAATTACAATGGTGGAGAAGTGTGCACTCGAGAAGTCCATCTCAAAGAACAAGCAAGCTTTTCAAGCCCATTTTTCTCTGGCTTGGTCAAAAATCTAAACTAAAGGAACATCCCTTCTGGTTATGGCTGCAGATCTGAGATTCCAGGGCCCAAACTTGGAAATTACAAAAGAATGAAATATGGCCATTAGGAGGGTTGGCAATGGAATGGTTTACTGCCTATTGTTACAAACTGTGATGTTTATTTTTTTAGTTCTGATACCTTTTGTGTGCCTTCATAAATTGCATTATAGTACACACAAAAAATCTGCAAGAGAAAAGGTAACTTTCATACAGAATATTACTATGCAGAGTATTACTATTTTTGTAAGTCACACTGCCTCATTTTGGGGGGGGGAATACTAATAAAATTACTAATACTAATAATGCAAAAAATAATAATAATATGGGTACTCAGATAAATAGGAACAACAACAACATTTTTAATTAGCTCTTATTAAAGCTTTTCTGTTTTGAAATAAACAGGGGAAACCATCCTATTAGAGAAGTTAACCAGCAAACTCAAAGTACCACGGAGACAAGCAAAGGAGGGCAACTTCACACTAGGGTGGTTCCTCTTTATCACATACACAGCACAATGAAACAATGACATCTGAAACAGCTAAAGCAAAATGGAATGCTACAGAAGATTTCAGTAGATCCCTAGTTGTGACCCTAATTTAGCCCAATGATGTGTTCCCATTCTGGGTGTTTGCAGAGTCAGAGGTTGATTCATAACAATTCAAGAACATAAGATGAGCCCACTGGATCAGGCCAGTGTTCTGCTCTCACAGTGGCTGACCAGATGCCTGTGGGAAGATGGCAAGTAGGACCCAAACACATTAGTACCCTCCTTGCCTGTGGTTTCCAGCAACTGGTATTCAGAGGCATCATGTCTCTGACACTCAAGGGATCACAATCACGTGGCAGGAAATTATTCGTACCCACAAAGACTACACATGGCTAGCATACCGGTCAAATGTCCCAATTAAAACAGGACATCCCGGTTTGGAGGAGCCATGCTCTCACACAGGTCATGTGGCTTCTGGGGAAGTGCAGCCCTGGAAGATGTGCATCCTGCTTTTGCATGTTGGAGGTTATGGGCTAAGTGCCACAACTACTCTTAGGTGCCTTGGTACATCTGTGTCAAGACTGATGAGATGCCGATAAGTGTACATCTGGGGAATGGTATCTGGTGTCTGACACAGGTAAGGTCTGTCCTCTGTGGAGACCTGTACCAGCCAGGAGGCAAGAATCAGAGGCAGGGGGAACTTCAGAGATGGGGGAAGAGGAGGAATAGACAGACCACCCTCTCCTATATCACTTTCTCCCAGAACCAGGAAAGGATTGAAGAAGGAAGCCAGCCCTGTATTAGGAAATTTTCAATGTCTAATGTTTTACAACTATTTATGTGCTGTAAGCCACCCAGAGTGGCTGAGGAAACCAAGCCAGATGCCCAGGGTATAAATAATAAAATTATTATTATTATTATTATTATTATTATTATTATTATTATTGCAGAAGCAGCCTCCATGCCCACAGCCTGTTGGAGGAAGGTACATAAACGTGAGGAGAGGGAGTGGTCCCCATTTTTGCTGCAACTGCTCCACGGGAATAGCTGCCTAGATGCGCAGACATGGGAATAGCTGCCTAGATACCAGATTGGTGTGAAGCAACTGTAGAAGCAACTGCCATGTGTTTTCTTTGAAGATAAGGAGATAATTTCTCTGCCATGTTCGTTCCTTGGCTGGGGAGCACCCTTGACAATCTGCTGTCATGAGTTACACATTTCAGAACATGCATTTACCGTGTTTTAATATGAGCGTTGAGAGACGTGGATACAAAATGTACCATCTGCGGGGGCTTACTTTTACTTGCTGTCATTTTGGATAAAAGTGGTGGGTGTGAAAGGAGGATGAGGGCGATGTGTACCTGTGTTTCTTGGTTGCATAATCAGTGGAGGTTCAAAGGAGGAGGAGATATTTACCAATTCTTCCTCCAGCACATGAGAGACTTGGAAAATGTCCATAAGCTACTAGACGTTCTATCCCCTCACTGCCAACTTGCCTCCTAATCAACTCTTCAGGACCCAGGTGCAATGTTAGAATCACCCACTCTGTTCTACCATCACCCAGTGTAGGAAGCTTGCAATTTTTCTCCTTGTTTCCTTTCATTTAACTTAGATTCTCTTCCTTCTTTGGCCTGAAAGAAGTAAACTAAGGATGAACAAAATTCTGGTCATGGGTTTCCTAGCCCTTCTCTACCTTGATTCAGGTAAATCCCAGAGGTAAGAAGAACAAAACGTTATAGAGCGGAACCATTGAGCAGAAGACATTGGGGAGAGCTGAGGCTTTGCTCCATAGATCAAAATGCATTGCACGGAAGTTGATTGATAGGTAAATCTTGGACTGTTGCTATAATCCTAAAGCACACTTACAGGGAAGGAAGCCTCATTGAACACATGGGACCAACTTCATAGTAAACATACTATGAAACAAGTTAGATATGAAACAAGGGCCTGCCCACCACAAAAGGTTTACAAAGTTCAGTTGTTGCAAAAGTTTGTCAGTGTTAATTTTATGCATTTTTTAAAATCACCATGGTATTTAACAATAATATCTTATGTCCTTTAGAGGAGAAATTGTGAATTGCAGAATTTTAAATACTCGTCATCATCCTTGGCTTCACTCAATACAGTGGTACCTCGGGTTAAATACTTAATTCGTTCCGGAGGTCCGTACTTAACCTGAAACTGTTCTTAACCTGAAGCACCATGTTAGCTAATGGGGCCTCCTATTGCTGCCGCACTGCCGGAGCACTATTTCTGTTCTCATCCTGAAGCAAAGTTCTTAATCTAAAGCACTATTTCTGGGTTAGTGGAGTCTGTAACCTGAAGCGTATGTAACCTGAAGCGTATGTAACCCGAGGTACCACTGTATTTATTTATAACACTAGGGCCTAGGGCCTCTCTTCATCTAAATTTGGCCCTGCCTTGACCTCAGCCGCCATGTTTCCCCTTACTTCATAGAATCATAGAATAGAATCATAGAATCATAGAGTTGGAAGAGACCACAAGGGCCATCGAGTCCAACCCCCTGCCAAGCAGGAAACACCATCAGAGCACTCCTGACATATGATTGTCAAGCCTCTGCTTAAAGACCTCCAAAGAAGGAGACTCCACCACACTCCTTGGCAGCAAATTCCACTGTCAAACAGCTCTTACTGTCAGGAAGTTCTTCCTAATGTTTAGGTGGAATCTTCTTTCTTGTAGTTTGGATCCATTGTTCCGTGTCCGCTTCTCTGGAGCAGCAGAAAACAACCTTTCTCCCTCCTCTATGTGACATCCTTTTATATATTTGAACATGGCTATCATATCACCCCTTAACCTCCTCTTCTCCAGGCTAAACATGCCCAGCTCCCTTAGCCGTTCCTCATAAGGCATCGTTTCCAGGCCTTTGACCATTTTGGTTGCCCTCCTCTGGACACGTTCCAGTTTGTCAGTGTCCTTCTTGAACTGTGGTGCCCAGAACTGGACACAGTATTCCAGGTGAGGTCTGACCAGAGCAGAATACAGTGGCACTATTACTTCCCTTGATCTAGATGCTATACTCCTATTGATGCAGCCCAGAATTGCATTGGCTTTTTAGCTGCCGCGTCACACTGTTGGCTCATGTCAAGTTTGTGGTCAACCAAGACTCCTAGATCCTTTTCACATGTACTGCTCTCAAGCCAGGTGTCACCCATCTTGTATTTGTGCCTCTCATTTTTTTGCCCAAGTGCAATACTTTACATTTCTCCCTGTTAAAATTCA